TGTGTTACGTTGCTGACGTTGTTATCGCGACACCAACCCTGGAGGACCACATAGAGAGACTGGACGAAGTCTTCACTTGCATGAAACAGGCCGACCTGAAATGTAAACGCTCTAAGTGTGAGACCCTGAGGGACTCAATAAAAAATCTGTGCCGCCTTGTACACAGGCACGGAGTCAGACCAGATAATGAAGCGGTTGAAGCAGTGCTAACATGGAAGGTACCAAAAACCGACACACAATTAATGAGCTTTTTTGTCTTCGCTAATTACTACCGAGAATTTATCACGGGGTATGCCGACAGAATATACCCCATGCAGCAATTGATGTGAAATAAGGGCCAGAAAAAAAGCTGGACTGGCGAGGCTCAAGTCTTTTTTGAGAACATCAAAAGCGAACTTTGCGAGGCTCCGGTCCTCGTCATGCCGACCGAGAAAAGAATGTTTTTAGTAGACACAGACACGTCAGTAGTCGCTATCTCAGGCTATACTCCATCAGGAACAAGAATAGAATGGAAAGGCTGTTATCCGACCCACAGTTAATGGGAGCAAAGTCCTAAGCGATACCGAAATGAAATATGGTGCACCGAAAGCGGAGATTTTCGCAGTAATTACTATTGTTGAAAAGTACAGAGACTACTTACAGAGTGCGCCCTTTATGTTGCGCGTTGACAATAGAGCTCTTGCCTGGTTAAAAACTTATTCGATGGATCAGAGCTACATCGGTCGCTGGATTGTACGTCTGGATGACTATCACATGATTATAGAGCACCGAACACGTGACAAACACCAAAATGACGACAGCCTCAGCAAGAAGACGGTGTTATACGAGCGACTGGAAGAGAAGCAAGCTAACCAGGCGAAGATTAAGGATAGTTTTTCATTGAAAAAGACACCTATGATAAACTGTCTCTCACCAGATGGCTCTACAAGTCAGGGCATCCCATACCAGGACACCCCGAACTTCCTGCGGAAAGAGCTGCGGAGATAAAAGTTTTGGCAAAAGGTGAATCGGTTTCTTGGGCTTGTTGGTCCGTTCCAACCTTGTACAGCGAAATCTTACCAGGCTAGACATCAATAGTATAGCGCCACTGAACAAAATGGTGAGCGTAGCACGGGATGTCATGCGAAAGCTCCACGATCTGCTGGAAAGAAAAGTTGAAAGGCAGGATCATGAATGGATGGAGACCATGCAGAGGCTGCCCATCACCGAATGAACAGAGAAGAGACTGGTAGCGATCCGGAGTCGGGACGTTGAGCGGGATTGCCAATCAATAGTGAACCAGCTAGTGAACTTGATACCGAAAGATGTCCTTTTGAGAATATCGTGCGTGGAAAATCAATAACTGACCAGCACACAGTCCGCTCAAGGGGTCAGTGTGGAACTGAAATCCAGTTTGGCAAGGAGGGTTCAGTTCACTGATGCGAAGAGGAGTACGAGCCGTGCTCGGACTTTTCAAATGGAGATGAGACATCGTCCGGAGATGAGACATTGTCCGGGGAGTCGTGTTCCATCGAGCCCGGCCGGGATGATTAGTCCGGGGAGTCCATGTCAGGACAACCGAAGGATAGAATTTTGCTCGTAGAGTCGAGAAGCACGAAGAGCAAGTTAGAAGGCGACTGTCAGATGCAAGTTAGAATCAATCATCTCGAGTGACGACTCGAAGTCTCAGTCCTGGGAGAACGTGTCTGAGACCACATCCAATTCCGACTTGTCGGAGATTGCAATTCATTCCTTGCTAGCAGATTGTAAACAGCGCGGGCTGGATAGAGAGATGCATCAAGATCCAGACAGGGACATATATACCTCCGACGAGGAAGGCACGGTAGTCAACAATGCCGCACACGAACTTGATTTGTTAGCAGTGTCGAGAAGCACGAAGAGCAAGTTAGAAGGCGACTGTATAGAATCAATCATCTCGAGTGACGACTAGAGTCGAGAGTGACGAGTAGAGTCGAGAAGCACGAAGAGCAAGTTAGAAGGCGACTGTATAGAATCAATCATCTCGAGTGACGACTCGAAGTCTCAGTCCTGGGAGAACGTGTCTGAGACCACATCCAATTCTCAGTCCTGGGAGAACGTGTCTGAGACCACATCCAATTCCGACTTGTCGGAGATTGCAATTCATTCCTTGCTAGCAGATTGTAAACAGCGCGGGCTGGATAGAGAGATGCATCAAGATCCAGACAGGGACATATATACCTCCGACGAGGAAGGCACGGTAGTCAACAATGCCGCACACGAATTTGATTTGTTAGCAGTGTCGAAGCTTCCGACTACTACCGCAAGCTACGGTCGTCTGTACCAATCTGGAGACTTTGGAATAAGAGGCGACACCCTTGAAAAAGATATGGTCTGTTAAAATTACGGAAGATTCCCATTCGCCGGAAATAATTAGTGAACAGCTAAACGTGATGAAGACATATTTGAAAGCCGATGAAGACAAATACTACACAGTGACGGAGCGTAGAAAAAGTGCCTATTAACGAGTGGCCGGGCGTCAGTTATCTAAATTCTACTCGTTTTTCACCGTCTCGATCTAGCCAGTTGATTTTCTGGTCTGTCTAGGGCTAAATAAAAAGTTACTATTTTCAGGCCATCAGGCAAACGACTTTTAATCAGCTTCCGTTTACATGCGAACACAACCACATAGCTGGGTCTCGGATCCTCAGACTACGTGATTGCTATTAAAAACACGGCTCAAATATCCTATTTTACTATGTTTTTGGTGACAGTTCTATATTAAATCTATTGGAGATGGATTGATCCTTTCCTCTTTCTAGCTACTCACATTCTAAAATATCAAATCATACCGGTGTTAATTCAAAATGTTTATGGCATCAGAGTAGCTTAAAAGTCAGTTCTTTATAGTCCTTCACCATCATATACTGTCTCTCAGGGGCCGAGCCTCCGCTTCCGTGATTCACTGTAATAACATCGTTATTACTCCCAATTCGTGGCACGGAAGGGTACTGCCCTTTACTCCTTCCCCACTGAAGCCTCCTTTCCGCCTGTTGTCTCTAATTAGCTGTCTTCTCGTGTATGATCGTCACGATAAGAGGCTATGTTTTTTCTTACGTTCCCGTTTGACTGTTTTTCACTATTTCAGCTGTTGTTCTGTTTTTTGTCACTTTTTCGTCTCAAAATGGCCGTTTTAGCATTTGTCAGAAACTTGACGTCACAATTCGAATTTTTTAAAATTAAAATTCCAGAATGTTCTGACCCTCCTTTGCAACAGTTTTCAACCGCTAAGGCCTCTATTTCTAACTTTGTGTTCTGCCGGAAAGTTACGCTGTGCGACCAATCTGGCAGAATGTCACACAATCGAAATTTTATCGTTCTGAAAAGGGACATCTAACCTGGAAAATTGATGGTTTTAATAGATTAGCAGCGTTATTTGAACGATATACAAATCGGGAAGGGTTAGTTTTAACTGACATGCTAATTTTTTAAAATTTCGATTTGGACGTGAACGGTATTGGTCCCGGGGCTTGAGAAAAAACCAAGAATTGTTTTTGGTCCCGGGACTTTGGAATAAGCGGGCTCATGACTTCCCACCTAACCCTCCGGCCCCCGGAGTTTTCGGTGTTAACTTAGTTAAAAAGCTAAATAGTACTGAACGGAGGGTACGCACCTTCCCCCCAGTACAATAACGGTCATTAAGGCCTCTGATTCGGGCTTACGCCCGGAGCGGAGGGTTCGTCGCTGAAACGCTTGCTGATCATGATGGTCTTATGCCTTTGACAGGCCCACCCAGGAGCGCCATAAAAACGTCTATGTAACATTCGCCCAAATACTACACAGCGACGGAGCGTAGAAAAAGTACCTATTAACAACTGGCAGGCGTCAGTTACCTTAATCCTACTCGTTTTTCGCCGTCTCGACCTTGCCAGTTGATTTTCTGGTCTATTTAGGGCAAAGTAAAAAGTTACCTTTTTAGGCCATCAGTCAAACGACTTTTGATCAGCTTTCGTTTACATGCGAACACAACCAGTTAGCTGAGTCTCGGATCCTCAGACTACTGATTGCTATTAAAAACACGGCTCGAATACCCTATTTTATCATGTTTTTGTGTGACAGTTCTATATTAAATCCATTGGAGTTGGATTGACCCTTTCCTCTTTCTAGCTACTCTTACTCTAAAATATCAAATAATACCGGTGTTAATTCAAAGTTCTATGGCATCACAGTAGATAAAAAATTAGTTTTATGCACTCCTTCAACATACAACAGTCTCTGGGGGACCAAGCCTCCGCTCCCGTAATCTTCTCGAGATTAAATTCTTATCTCTCCCAATTTGTGGCACGGGAGGTTTCCGCGGAATATTCCTTCCCCACTGAAGCTTCCTTTTCCACTATTTTCCACTGCTAAGGATCTTATCGTGTGTTTTTGCCACGATAAGAGGCTCCGTTTTTCTCGTGTTCCCGTACGACCGTTTTTCACTATATTTGTCGTTGTTATTTTTTTTCGTTCCTTTTCGTCAAAATGGCCGTCTTTTTGTATTTCTCAGAAATATTCACTCTTCGATCGAAATTTTAAAAATAAAATTTCTAGAATATTCCTACCCTCCCTCGCAGCACTTTTTCGTTACTAAGGCCTTCAGTCGTCTTTTTCTGTCCCGCCGGAAGGTTGCGCTGTGCCAATCTGGCAGAATGGCACATCACTATTCTTGCATATAATCAAGTTAATTTGAGTGTTTTCACCGGAGCCGGAAACAGTAACGTTTTTGTCGACCCGATGTTAGGAAAACCACCAAAAGAACTGGCTTTGGTAGAGACGGTGAAAAGCATGTAGAGCTGTGCTTAGACGCTAGCCAGTCGTTTTAGAACCTAGCTTTATTTTCCGTCGATATGTACTTCCGGGCGAATGTTACACTTGATACATTGAATAAAGTTCGTTCTTCTGTGATCAGGTTTTATCTATCAGTTACAAGGAGTTTTTTAATGTTTGTTTTAGGCGTGGCATTCAACGTCACCTGGTTGAAATCTTTTGTTTTCAGGTTAATTCTGGTTGCTTAAAAGGAGTCGACTGCGCATGTTAATTTCAGCGCCAGATTTTGTCCGGGCAATCTGGCCGTGGTTAAGATCCTATCAATTTAAATCTGATGTGGCGGTGCTTCAATTGTCCTTTAGATTTTGATTCAAGGCAAAAGTATGCGGCTCACGCTCAGACAGTGCATGAGTTTTATGTTCCTGAAAATTCACCAAATTTGCCATGCGACTACAGTTATTGCATCATTCCAGAGAATATAATTCAAACTGGGATAGTTCCCGATTTGAATGAGAAAAATGGACGAAAAGAGGTAGTATTCATATCTGCAAACATCTTGAAAGATTTAAAAGCTTGTTCAGTTGTGGCTACTAGATTTCTTGATACCTTTTCAGTAAATCTTTCTCCAAATCGAGGTTCGGGGCAAATATCGGACAATAATTGTCAATTTTGCGGTATGATTTTCCTTCGCAATGACATCGAGCAGCGCATAAAGCACTTGAGGTTTTGCCTAAAGCGACCTGATAAGTTTCCTTGTGAAACTTGCGGAAGAGCTTTCAAAAGCAAAAAGAATCTTAGATTACATAAGTTCCGCGGTTTATGTACAGAAATGACGTATGAGTATGAGCGTAACCAAACAGATACAGAAACAACAATTCAAAAAGATACAGGTAAAACAAATTCAGTGTTAAAAAGTAAAACTGAAGGAAAAAGTTGTTTCAAGTTTTTGAAACATCCGGAAAAATTGCAAACTACTTCAATGCGAACACCAAATTTGAAACTGACTGCGGTTCAAAAAGCCAAAAGTCAAACTATGAAATTATCAAAAGCGAATATTAAACGAACTATTGTCAAGTTTAATTTGCCGGACGAAACTCCGAAAAGGAAGACGAAGAAAGCAGAAAAGAAGGGTTGGCAATAAATTTAATCCTAAATAATAAGAACGTTTAAATTAATATATAAGTTACGAGCATTATTGCTATCCACTTAACTTAAACGGTTGGTTGCTTTAACTTTCTTTTCTGAAAAATTATGTCATGAAAACATTGATTTTGATGATTCGTAAAATTAATATTGGATTACAATTGCGATGCCATTAGCAAGGGTATTTTTATCGGGCCCTCTTGTTTTCTCCCTAAATATCTTGCCAACAGAATGTACCTGTGAGATGTTACTTGTTTCAAAATAAATATCAAATCCATAAACAGTTTCTGCACATGTAGGCGAAATTCTGGCCGGGTGTCAATTTTTTCTTCTCATAGTGAAAAATTTTGTTCATCGAAAAATTTAATGGTCGGACTGTAGATTGTATGGTTATTTTTGTTAGCCCACTCTTTACACTCACATGCTAGAGAGTGGTAGTACGAACCTTCTTTTGTTTCTAACCTAAAATGTAACCTAAACACGCAAATAAAATTGTTCAGTAAAAGTGTTCACTTATTTGGTGGCTTTTTTTGCTATAATCGGATACGTAGCTTGAAAAGTTTCATAGAATCTGTTCTTGCTGTATTTATGACTAGTGTTTGTGATTTATTAAGCGTCCGTGGCTGAGTGGTTAATATGCGAGACTCATGATCTTTAAGGCGCAGATCGAATCCTAGACGTAGCCGAATTTTTACTATTTCGAGGCTTACTTCTAATTTTTTCTAACCATATTTATAGTGCTGCTTTTTTGTGTTTGCGAAGCGCAGATTCGCCTCTGTGTTAAAACATGAGTTTTTTTTAAACTCATTTACCAGAATTGATTTTTTGAATCTATTTCTTTAATTTGTGAAAGTAGCACCTTTGATTTTGAGTCGAAACTATTCAAGCCAAAAAACTTAAAAGCGAAAAAACTATTCAAAATGTTTTGTCGGTTTAGTTGCCTCATAATACGTGTTTTGGAGGGCGTTCATATATGTTTCATACGTTTGTTCGTGCCGGAGGGGAGGGATATAGCCAGATAAAAGTTTGCGATGTTTTTTCGGATCAACGGTCGTTCACTTTAGTAATGTCTGCTTATATACAGCTTGATAAATTTTGTTGTAATACTCCTTTAACAGTGATAATTGTGTTTCTCGAAATTTTTTCCTCAAACAATTTCACTCGAGACAAAATTTAGTTGATTTTTTTCAAGATGATTTCACTAAGTGGCTTTCTTATTTTCGGTAGCTTTTTTTGCAATTTCATCGCAGGTGTGCGAAACTTCGCCTCCGTGTCGAAACGAGTCTTTAACTTTGTGCTTTGAACAATTCTCGAAGTGAAGGGAAAGAAGAACTATTGCGCAGGGTGCTTTTTCCGAAGTATTTTATATCTCTCAAATCTTATAGATGTCAGGTATGGTGTCATTTTGAAGTTGTATTGGTCGGAGTTCATATATCAAAAAGATTTTCTCAGTAGCGAGGAAATTTAGTCAGCTTTTTCGGATTTTCAGACTAAGTCTTATAAATATTTTGAACGCTTTGCGTGTAAGTTGTATTACAAAAAGCTCACTGCTTGTGCAATTTTCACGTTGATTAAGCTGTGGTTGTCTTGCATTCTGCAGTTTTAAATTGTCATGAAGCGAAGTGAAGACACTATTTAGGCATGTTTTTTTTTTTCATTTTCAGACAATTTACTTCAAATTACAAATTCTTCACATCTACTTTTTAAACATAACGCCAAATTCTCTATGGACGTCATGTTTTCAGCGATTTTTATAAGGTACAACGGGGTAACGTTTTATTTGATTTAATTTGAAAATCTTTCACGAAATAAAATGATTGAAACAGGATAGCCGGTTGCTGTGCAAGTAGCACAGAATGACCGACCACATTTTCAGAAAAAAAAAATTTCATTTCAGTGTATTTTTTGTACGTCGTGTGATGATACAACTATGATAGGCATAAAGGAATCCTATGGTCTTTAAAACTTTCAAAAAAAATTGAAAATGTTTTCGAAAAATTGTTTTTTTTTTTTCAATTTTTTGCACTAAAAATTTAATATTTTTGAAAGAAATTTTTTGTCAGAGAAGAGTTAAATGAAGCTTCCAAAACTAGTTGTAAGTAAACACGCTAATAGTAACCTTATATCACCATTTGTGATTTTTTTGGAGTACGTCTTACCTGCTTGTCATGTGAGTTCAAACAGAATAACTGAATTCTTTCAAATTTGATCAGTTGTGGTACAGCTAATGTATATTTACTATTATCAGTTCAGCGTGTTACTGATTTAATTTGATATTTTGTTCTGAAGCTCATCAAATATCCCTTGATATCTTCATATAAAAATTAACCCTCCCAAAATCTAGGTTGAGTTTTACAATGCTACACAACAAATATTCGTCCGATTTTTAGATTGTTAGGAGAATTGAGTTAGGAGAATTTATTAACAAATCAAATAAAGAATTTTGAATATTTTTACCGAAGCATGCAGAATAATTGTTATTTCAACTTTGATAACCCTTGCGATGAGCAAGGATGTTGCCACCGGTAACTAAACTTTTTTCCCGTGAAGAACTTGTTCATAAGATTTTGCAGGTTAAAATGTTAATTGTCTTTCAACTTTTCTCATTACCCCTCCTATAAGCAAGTGTGTTGCAACCGGGTACTCGAAATTTTTATGCGTGCTCAAGAAAAGTCAGCTCTGTTGCCGCTTCGTAATTTTTGTTTTAATGCATATTTAATTCTCAATTGTCGAATTTTTCATGTTTTCTTTAGTGAATTTTATTCATTATCAATTAAGACAGATATGAAGTTTTTGAAAGTCTAGTTTTTCACATTTTCTTTTTTTCCGTAAATAAAGAAATTTTCCCTTTTTTTTCTCATTTTCCCGTAGCTCGATTTTTTTTGAAGGTTCAGCATTTTTAACCCTTGCGATAAGCAAGGGTATTGCAATCGGGTACTAGTTTTTTTCACGTAAATAACATTGTTCACCATTGTCAGTGTAGTAAGAGTGGTGAATTTCACCTATGGCTGACTTGCTCAATTTCTTAGAAATTCAAATAACTACCAACCTTGAGGTAGTAGATAGGTGGAGTTCGGTTTAGGCAGTAAGTATTTTTTCAAATAAGTTTCTTGAAAAATTATTTTGAATTCGTGGTTTTCGTCCTAGTTTCCGTCGTATCATTTTCAAATGTTTACCTAGAAAGAACTTCTGTCGAGAGAAACGAAAATATAAACTTTTCTGTATTGCTTCGCCGCTGTGTTCAAATTGTCATTTATATTATATGGTATGGTTTTCTAATGACTCACTCTATTAAGTATGAGTTTTATTTTGCTTTAAACATATTTTTTATATAATTGACCGTAATTTGTAATTTACCAACTCGGTTTCGGCCTATTGGATATCGGCCTAGGACCTCATATTGCCTCTGACGAGCGAAAAAAGTCTATGTATGTGTTTTGAGTGTGAGGAGGACCTAATAACTTTTCATTCCTGATTTTTCGGGGTTTGACTTGTGATTTCTTTGTAAGTTCAGTGGATTTTTACTGTTAAAAGGAAGGCAAACTCCACCATCGAACAGCAAAAGAGTAAAGGCCACGAAAAAAGTGATCGACTTCTGATTTCGAAAATGGCCTTGACGTGATAATCTTTCCCAGAAACATTTCAAATAACTTTAAGTGTTTTTAAAAATGTTAACTAATCATGTGATTGGTCCTCTGTGTTGATGCGTGTCAGTTTTTGAAGTGATGTCAGTTTTGGCTGCTTGTAATTTGAAGTAAATCTTGAAATTTAGGTTATTGTTCATAGTCTTAGTCTTGCGCAAATGTATTTTTGTCACAAATATATTTTTGTCAAATGTAAAAACTTAACACTTAAGATACATTCTTAAAAGCGCAATTGCTTAACATTAGGCTAAATAAAAAAAATTTAATATGGAGCAATTCCTCATCAAGTCTGCGAATTTGCGATATTGTTACGGAGTCAGGCAGAATCGTTGTTAACTCAAGATTAGTTGAAAGTCTAGGGGAAGAAGTTTCTACAAATTCAGAAAACAATGAAAAAAGAGTTCTTTCGACTGAAAAGATCCAATTAGCTGCATCTTGTTTTTGGCATTATTTGTGTCTCATTGCTCATCCACTCAATCTTTTAATTTTGAAACCAGCATAAGTTGATTTAAATTACAATGATTGACAGTTGCTGTGCAAGCATCGCAGAATTATTCCGACTACATTTAAAAATGCTTAAACAAAAAATTTTCTTTTTCAATTTATGGTTTTTTGTGTGCTCGGCGGTTTGATGAGAGAACTACGAATGCGTAAGACTTACGCGAATTAAGTCTACATGACAACAGCTGTTTTTGAAAAATGAAAAAAGAAAATAACAGAAAATTTTTTCTCGGAAGCGCTTAATGAAGCTTTTTCAGTGCCGCTTTTTCATCACATCAGAAAGGCAACTAAAATTTTGCTTGAATAAATGTTTTTGTGCCAAAATTTTCTCTCTGATAGTTTAATGTAAAACATCAAAAATTGGTGAGGTAAGCTACGGTTATTGTGATAGTAACTTTTCTCCCGAGGATATTGATATGAAATAATTTAACCAAACGCTGTATCATCAAGTGCCACAAGTTTTCGGGCAATCGCTTCTTCTTCTTCTTAGGCATTCACCCCTCGTGGGATAAGCCCTCTTCTTTGCTCGACGCACAGGTTTGTCGCGGGTAATATATGGTACCAACTTCTTTTCGTACTATTACAGGCAATTGGCTGTCTTGGATTTATAAAGCTGCGGAGGTTTGTTTGTCCATCGTGAATTTTGTCTTGGTTTCTGAATGCGCTCTCTGTAGTGCATATTTTTTCCTTTTTCGCCTGTAAGGCATTGTAGGTTTTCCATGATTTCTGGTGCAATCGTTTTTAGATGCTTTTTCACCTCTCCCATAATTTTGCACTCCTTGCTACACTCTGAGCATGTCATTTCGTTTTCTAGCTTTGTTGCTGATTTGTTTTGGTCAATGATTTCTTGTTTTTCGTTGTTAAAGTGAAAGTTCTTCCCTTGTGGATATTTTCAGCTTTTCAGCGCTAAGGTTGATGTTTTTCCCCAGCTTCAGAAATAAGTAACATGAGTGACAACTTTGCGATATCCGCAGAGTTATCACTATTTTAAATAATTCAAATAATGAAAAAGCTTCACATCCTGGGTTATCTTTCGATATCCACGAGTTGGCTCAGCTAAACAATTATTTAATAAAATTGATTATTTTTTGTTTGCAAAGCAAAAGTGTTGGTGTACATTGCGATGTTTGTGGGGTGGCTCAAAATAACTATATGTGTTGTCGTATCGAAAAGTATGCAGCAATTTTATAGAAAGAGACCTTGTGATCTTCACCCGGTAGCCTAAGAAAATCTAAAAGTTGCAAAAAAAATAACCTTTTTTAAATAGCTTTCTTTGCAATATCATTAAAATCGAAATAAAATTCAAGATAGTTGTATACTAATGAAATGTGTATGAGTGCCTTGCGATATCAGCGGCGTAGCTCAGATTTTACCAACTTTCTTTTTATTAAAAACAAAATTGATACGCTAAAACAATACTTAAAAAAAAACTAAAAATTTATGATCCATGTTTATAAAAAGAAATTATCTTTGCGATATCCGCGGAGAAATAGTTTAAAAAAAAAATGAAAATGAAAAAAAAAAAAAATAGAAAAGAAAACAGTCCATAGCCCCTGTTTTCCTTCATTTCTTGTTTTGATTGAAAAAAAAAATCATCGTCAAAGCGGAGCATTAATTAAAATTAGAAAATGATAATGAATAAAAATTTTAAAAGGTTATTTTGAAACAGATTGAGGGTTAATACACCTCATTTGATTTGAATTGTAATCCACAAACATATTAGGCTTAAGCAACAAATCGTACCTGGTAACTAGCGCGTGTTCTGTCCTTGCTAAAATTGATGGAGAAGTTTTTCATGTTTACAAAACATAAGATCACTGGAGAAAAACATCGACCGGCTTCATCAGCTTTATCTGAGTACATTAATTTGTGAACCAATAATTATTGCACTAACGGAAACATGGTTAAAACGGATTCAAACATAAAATGCCTCACCTTAGCAAACTACCGACTAGTAGAAAATCAAGGAAGAGAGAGGAGAGGTGGTGGAGTTGGCTTGTTCGATTATATTGTAATTTATTTGAGCCCTGCCTTAAAACTGATTGATTCTTTGAAGAGTTTGAAAAGTTACTTGGATGGGATTGATAGAGGACCCGATGATTAACATGTTCTTTGTGAAGTTTTCGTTCTGGACCATTTAAAACCTCAATTTGAAAATGCATGCGAGGAATGTCTAAATGCTTTTAACTAAAAATGTCAAAACAATTTAGAACCAACTCGCCAAACAGTTTGTTTCTTCCAAATTTTGCATAGATGTGGTGTACTCAATTTTTTCTACAGTTGTTCAGGTGTCGGATACATTGATTACAGATCATTCAACGGTAATTACGTACCTGAAAGAAACAAGAAATGAGTCTCCTGATGAAATTCCCCAAGCAGAAGCATAAAAAGTTAGGAACACGTTAGAAGACAGAAACATTTTCGAAAAAATGAATTTTATAGTTCGACTTGAAGTACAAAGGCACGACGATGAAATTAAAAAGTTAGGTTGCAGTGAGTTTTTTCAATTCGTTCATTACATTAGCTCAGAAAGTGACAGTCATAAAGCGAAATTTGTAAAAACTAGAAATGCATTACAAAAATTGATAGGCAAGAAACGAAAACAATTTTACTACTAGAAGTTTGAAAATGACGCTAAACGAAATTCAAGAGCTTTTTTTGAATACTTTAAGAGAAAAGTCGGGTAAAGAAATAATCTGTTAATCTAAGCCAAGAAGAAATCGAAATCTTTAATGATTTTTCTGCAAATTTTTTCAACAAGCTTTCAGCAAACTTTTCGAAAAATTACTGCATAAACGCATTACTGATTTCTTAGAGAAACACGGTGTTTTCACTAAAAATCTATTTGGATTCAGACCTAAAGGTTCTTCAATTGATGCTTTGGTAAACTTCATGAAAGACATTCGAAATGATTGAGAATTGAACCCTAATGTAAAACATGCTACTCTCATAGATCTCAAAAAAACGTTTGATACCGTTTCCCATGATACACTTCTACAAAAAGCTGAAAACTGCAAACTACGAGGTCCCATAGTGTTGTTGTTTAAATTGTTTTTGACAAGCAGATCACAAGTAGTCAAAATAGGCACCAAAATGTTGAAGGTGAAAAGTATTTACTGTGGAGTTCCACAGGGATCAGTCCTCGGGCCACTACTGTTCATTTTAATGGTAAATGATTTACCAACGGTTACAAACTCAGTGAACACTTTTTTATACGCTGATGTTACCGCAATTAAGCAAAAAGAACAAAACTTACACCAATACAAAGAGGATTTATCAAAAAAAAGAAATCGGTTGAAAATCAATAAGCTGACTCTGAACCTAGACAAAACAATAAATATAAATTTCAATAAGAAAATATTCATTGGAATATACTATTAAAAAGGAACCGATGATGTGATAAAAAAACTCTATACTAAATATTTGGGCATTCACGTGGACGCAAAATTAGATTTCAAATTTTTTTTTTACGTTCGCCAAAAAAAAATGAATAATTTTTGTGGGTTGTTCTACCGATTACGTGGCGTACTAACGCTAGCACAGCTAATCAAAACCTATTTCAGTCATATTTAAATCATACTGAACTATGGGTTTATAGTGTGCGGCACAGCTATTAAAGCATCACTACAAAAACTTGAAGTGAAACAAAACCAAATTCTGAGAATTTTTTGTAAAGAAAACGGAGATATCAGTCAGTAACATATTTTAAAGAAATCTGCAAGATATGCTCAGTGAAACAACTTCACATATACGAGGTATTCAACACTTTATTTAAGCTTTATGTAAAAATTCCAAAACTGAATTTCTAAAAAACTCGCGATTGTAGACTCGGAGATTGAGATAATTGAACATAAAAGAGTTAAAAAATATCAAACCAACGAATAATTTAGCTGGTGAAAGTCTTAGAAGAATAGGTAAATGGATAAGAAAACTATTCAATTTTAATCAAATTTTTTTTTGAAATTTTTGCTGATATAGCAATCTTAATAGTAGTCAATTAAACACTTTTTTCCATGATTTATACAAAACAAGTAATTACGAAATTATAGATTTTTTTTCTAAAATAGGGGGGTTGTGGGGTTTAGACAACTGATAGTACTTCACAGTTGAAACTTCTCTGAACTTTTTAGAAAATGTAGTGCTTAATTAAGGCATCACCTGACTAGGCCTATCGGGCCTTTGGATGTCCTTGCATATCAGAATTATGTGAATGTCTATTGAATAATCTCTGATATGAAAACAATTTATTATTAATGCTCAGACCGTTCTTTTCTTATTCTCCTCCATTCTTCTCTATCCGCCGTTCGCTTGTACCACTCTTTTCAATCCATTTTTTTCCAGTATATAAACATCTTCCTTTTTTCCTTTTCCGTAGTATCATTTTTGATTTTTCCCAGCTTAGTGGCTTTCTTGTATTGTTTTGCGACTGCTGCGAAGCTCCAATTTGCCCATGTGTGAAGTTTTTTTTGGAGGACTGATTTTTCAATAAAAAAGTTTTCTACGTCTCTGTTGACTTCTAGCTATTTATGACATCAAAAAGCCTAAGTAAAATTTCGCTCATGAGAACCAAACTGCGTTCCAATGTGTAAATGGTGTCATTTGATATTTCAAGGGGGATTTTATTCTGGCCTTGTAAAGGTATAATTCGTGTTCTTTTGGTTTTCTTCAGTTCATAAACGGTTTTACCGCAGTTTGTTGGCTAGATAAAATACCTATTATACGGAACATTAAACATTTTCCCACTTTGTCACCTTTTGGCCTCGGATTTTGAAATGACTTTTTAACATAGTGTTTTATGCAGTGACTTACTAAAAATTTGCCAACGCTGTAGAGAAATCTATGACGAAAGTGGGCTCATCTCCTACCGACTTCCAGTTGCTATCTTTGCCAGGTTTCAATGCATTCCAGTCCGCTCAATTTTCGTTAAAAGATTTTCTCGTTGACGAAGACGCTCGAAAGGAAGATAGTTGGATGCCTGTCAGACAATCTATTGATCAACGATTAATAAAAACCGAAGCGCTTGACTTGGCTCAATTAGATAATCCCGATAACAATAATAACAATAAGATACCCATTCTAGTGACCAAAAAGGGCTTAAGATGCGCTGAATGTGGGGCTGACTGCCTAAATATTCAAGATCTCGAGAAGCATGTTCGTACCGCGAAACATTCGAATTTAGATAACAACATTGCCGTTGTATTAAGTCCAGGCACTGATTCGGGCAAAAAGCAACTCATCTGTAAAATATGTTCGTCAGTTTTTGCGGTTAGTAAAATGTTCAGCGCCAAGTTCCACGCTTTTCTGCATGTTTACCCGGAAGCCGTAAGACAAATGTACAGTCAACAGACATTCAAGTGTCCTCGGAGGAAATGTACACTAGTGTTTGATAATGCACGTGACTTGGAGCAGCACGACAAGAGGGAACACTGGGATGTTGCCAACGTAAAGAAGTTGAGGTGTCAGTATCCGAATTGTACCGCCGTGTTCACAACGCACCCAGGACTGAAGGACCACGAGAGTGATTTCCACAAAGAAATGTAAGTATCAAAATAAAAATATTTACGCAAGCGCAGGTTTATGTTTAAAACACCATATGTTTTAAACAGTGTTTGAAACAATGTTTTGAACGTTTGTATTTTATTGCTGTTTCTTATTATTGTTTTTCCGCTTTTTTTTTAATACAAAATACAAGTATCGAAATCCATGGAATTTTCCCGTAAAGAGTTCATAATTCAAAAATTGGCTTTAAAAATTTTTTTTTTTCGATTTCCTTGTTCATTTCTGTTGACTATGTTATGATGAATTGTGATTAAATTTTGGCCGAAATTGATCGGTTAATTGATTAACTAACCATCGGTTTTGTTTGGCGAATTGGTCTAATGTTCATTTTTAAAGTCTAACCTAGAATGCCTTTGGATAAGCTGATAGAAGATTTAAACCTTGTTAAAAAGGGTTTTGTTTCAGGGTTCCACTAGTAGGTTCATTGAAACGGGATTTTGGGGACAAAGAAACTGCACTTGCATGCAAAAAACAGCGGCTGAATGGTGGGTTCTATTTGGCTAGTAATGCAGCCAATTGTTGTAACGCCTTCGCTGCCTTCAAGGAGTCGGAAGACGTCTGCATTCTCCACGACGAACTGTGTCTGCGAGACAGAGCCTGTCTTCTTTGCAAAGAGGTGCTTCCAACCAAAACGGAACTAACTGGACACTATCGAGAAACGCACAGAAGCAATTCTGGCAATGGTTACAAATGCGTGTTGTGCTCACACAATTCTCTCACTTACGTCGCTTTCTCGAAACACGTGCGAACCATACATCAGTGCTTCTTCGTCGCCGATATGCCAGAGTATGGAATAACCCAGATTGTGAAGTCTGACCTCCAGAACCCGAACCAGAAGAGATTCAATTGTGAGAACTGTAAAATGGCTTTCGGTGACTTCTCGAGAATCAGGCTTCACAAGATTGTAGCAGACAACCATACATGTAAAATCTGTTCGAAACGGTGTTGCAGCGTCCTGGACAAAGCGAAGCACTATAAACAGAATCACCCTAGTGAGTTTCCCAAGTTGAAGGGCACGCAACCTATATATCTCTGTAAGGCATGTAAAAAGTCATACAAGAGTCTGAAAAAGTACCAGTGTCATTTTGCCTTACATTATACCAACATGAATACTTGTTGCTACTGTAGCGAACTGTTGCATAATGACGAAGAGCTGGACTCTCATATTCAAGAAGAACATATCGCAAACTTAGATAGTCAGAAGCAATCATCGCTTAAATGCCTTCAGCTAGAATGTGAGCTTCAAACAAGTTCACTAATAGACTTGAAAATCCACATGTATCAGAAGCATTTCAAAACAGACCCGGTGTTTGTCTGCAAAAATTTGCTTTGTTTAAAGGTGCTGAGGTCTGAAAAACAGTATACGGCACATATGAGCTCGTGTAGCTCAATGTGTAATCAATCCAGTTCTCCGCTCATACCTGTTTCTTCAAAGGAGAAACCAGCAGCTATTGAAAGGAACTTCGAGACGTCGGAAGTGCCAGCTCGTCAAATTACTAAAGCTCCAGAATTAATCTGTCTGGACTAATCTTTCCTTAGTCTCTTCCATGAGTTATTTAATACCCTTAGATTAAGATTTTTAGGTTTAGTAGAAATGAAGTTGAACGAGCAGATGATGTAATTCAAGGCGCAGAAAACCCGTGAAGGGTTTCAGTTTTTTTAATTTATTTTGAACTTTAATCCAAATACAGAGTGCGATAATCCAGTTCTTTTATGTAAATTCAATAAACACTTTCTGACATTTGCTTGGGATTAAGTGAAAAAATGCGTTTTCTTTCAAATGATTCGGCAAAATTATTGAATGATATCTGTAGTTTTTTCAATTTTTCCACTAGCTCAAGTTTTTCCAGTTAAACTTGAATGTTTTGTTAATTTTTTACTGATAAAGCTTTCTAAAACAAGCTTTGACCTAATTTCGATTTTAAACCCGTACATTTGTGCAGTAATTCCACAAAATTGTAACCAGTTCTTTACACGCTTTATATTTAAATTTATTAATTGAAGCAAGTTTATACCTATATTTTGGCAAAATCCGTGAGCTGAAAAATGACTCGATTTGTAATCAATCCAAACGCAGTTCTCTGCTCAAACTTGTTTCCCGAAAAGAGAAACCAGCAGTTACCGGAAGATGTTAAAATTTACAAAAAAAATACGACGAAAAAGCCCGTTTTTCAAATTTCTAAATTTACAGAAGTATTCTGTCTGAATTATTATGCTACTTTAAGTTTTTAATTATCAGAAGTTCGGATGAATGTTATTTAGTGTCAAGGAACGTAGTGAAGAAATTTAGGCCGAGTTTTTTCTGTCGTCTTTTTTCGATTTAAGACGAATTTCGATTTGAAGCGGTTTGACTTTTGGCTTCTTTTAAAGGTCAATTCTATTTCATTTGCTAGATGAAGGCAAATTACGCTGCAGAAATAGCTGAAATGGTGCGAAAAATATGAACAACTTATAGCTCCGAGAGTGGAGTTTTGTTCAATAATTTTGTATAGAAAGAATTCTACGTTTGACCCATCATTTTTTCCTATTTGGGTTAATTTGAATGACAAAAACGTCAATCGAAAAAGTGATGCGTTTTTTTCAAAAGTGGGTCACTTTTTTTTTAAAAAAAACAATGGATTTAATTCAAAAAATTCACAAGTGAAAGCGCATAGTTTCTGCCATGTTTTGTGCTATCTTGTGTTCATTGACACTTTTCAAATGGCTTTAGCGTAATTACCAATTTTGCACTACGAAAGGTTTTTAAAAAAACATTTAGCTTCAATTTCAATTTCTTTTACTCCTACCTTTCTGCAATATTTTGCCAATATCAGGTCTTTCCTGTTTTTTTTTTGAGGATTTTTAGTTTTAAGGTTCTTAAAAAGAAATTAAAAAGGAAAAAGAAATTAAGATTGGTTCGGACCAAATTCGATTTTCTGCGGTTTGATTCCACAATGCTATTTGTAATAATTCAAATTCACTCGGTGAAAAGAAAACAAATTACGCATTCCAATTAGCGGAGATGGTGCAAAAAAACACGAATGTTTACAGCTTCGAAAATGGAGTTAAGTTGTTAGTTTTCCGTGAAGTTCAAAAAGTTACTTTTTTTAGGTCAAGTTGTTATTTAGGTCCAGTTGTTTATTCGGGAAAACTCCTAATTTTTTTTTACTTCAAATTGAATTCAAAAAATTTGATACTTGCTTGGTCTTCAAGACTAATTCTAGTTCATTTGCTGAAAGGAAGTTAATTACGCTCTCATCATAGATGAAATGGTGCAAAAAAACTTGAACAACTTCTAGCTCCAAAATTGGCGCTTAGAATAATTTTTGTTTTTGTTGTATAAGAAAAATCCACCGTTCAATCCAGTCTCCTCTTTTTGGAGTCTCCTCTTGCCTTCAAGGAGTCGGAAGACGTCTGCATTCTCCACGACGAACTGTGTCTTCGAGACAGAGCCTGTCTTCTTTGCAAAGAGGTGCCAACCAAAACGGAACTAACTGGACACTATCGAGAAACGCATATAAGCAATTCTGGGAATGGTTACAAATGCGTGTTGTGCTCACACAATTCTCTCACTTACGTCGCTTTCTCGAAACACTTGTGAACCATACATCAGTGCTTCTTCGTCGCCGATATGCCAGAGTATGGAATAACCCAGATTGTGAAGTCTGACCTCCAGAACCCGAACCAGAAGAGATTCAAATGTGAGAACTGTAAAATGGCTTTCGGTGACTTCTCGAGAATCAGGCTTCACAAGATTGTAGCAGACAACCAGACATGTAAATTCTGTTCGAAACGGTGTTGCAGCGTCCTGGACAAAGCGAAGCACTATAAACAGACTCACCCTAGTGAGTTTCCCAAGTTAAGGGCACGCAACCTATATATCTCTGTAAGGCTTGTAAAAAGTCATACAAGAGTCTGGAAAAGTACCAGTGTCATTTTGCCATTATACCAACATGAATACTTGTTGCTACTGTAGCGAACTGTTGCATAATGACGAAGAGCTGGACTCTCATATTCAAGGAGAACATATCGCAAACTTAGATAGTCAGAAGCAGTCATCGCTTAAATGCCCTCAGCTAGAATGTGAGTTTCAAACAAGTTCACTAATAGACTTGAAAATCCACATGTATCAGAAGCATTTCAAAACAGACCCGGTGTTTGTCTGCAAAAACTTGTACTGTTTAAAGGTACTGAGGTCTGAAAAACAGTATACGGCACATATGAGCTCGTGTAGCTCGATGTGTAATCAATCCAGTTCTCCTCTCATACCTGTATCAAAGGAGAAACCAGGAGCTATTGAAAGGAACTTCGAGACGTCGGAAGTGCCAGCTCGTCAAATTACTAAAGCTCCAGAATTAATCTGTCTGGAGTAATCTTTCCTTAGTCTCTTCCATGAGTTATTTAATACCCTTAGATTAAGATTTTTAGGTTTAGTAGAAATGAAGTTGAACGAGCAGATGATGTAATTCAAGGCGCAGAAAACCCGTGAGGGGTTTCAGTTTTTTAATTTATTTTGAACTTTAATCCAAATACAGAGTGCGATAATCCAGTTCTTTTATGTAAATTCAATAAACACTTTCTGACATTTGCTTGGGATTAAGTGAAAAAATGCGTTTTCTTTCAAATGATTCGGCAAAATTATTGAATGATATCTGTAGTTTTTTCAATTTTTCCACTAGCTCAAGTTTTTCCAGTTAAACTTGATTTTTTTGTTAATTTTTTACTGATAAAGTTTTCTAAAACAAGCTTTGACCTAATTTCGATTTTAAACCCGTGCATTTGTGCAGTAATTCCACAAAATTGTAACCAGTTCTTTACACGCTTTATATTTAAATTTATTAATTGAAGCAAGTTTATACCTATATTTTGGCAAAATCAGTGAGCTGAAAAATCACTCGATTTGTAATCAATCCAAACGCAGTTCTCTGCTCAAACTTGTTTCCCGAAAAGAGAAACCAGCAGTTACCGGAAGATGTTTAAATTCACAAAAAAAAATCACGACGAAAAAGCCTGTTTTTCAAATTTCTAAATTTACAGAAGTATTCTGTCTGAATTATTATGCTACTATAAATTTTTAATTATCAGAAGTTCGGACAAATGTTATTTAGTGTCAAGGAACGTAGTGAAGAAATTTAGGCCGAGTTTTTTCTGTCGTCTTTTTTCGATTTTAGACTAATTTCGATTTGAAGCGGTTTGACTTTTGGTTTCTTTTAAAGGTCAATTCTATTTCATTTGCTAGATGGAGGCAAATTACGCTGCCGAAATAGCTGAAACGGTGCGAAAAATATGAACAACTTATAGCTCCGAGAGTGGAGTTTTTGTTCAATAATTTGTATAGAAAGAATTCTACGTTTGACTCTTAATTTTTTTTTACTTCAAATTGATTTCAAAAAATTTGATACTTGCTTGGTCTTCAAGACTAATTCTAGTTCATTTGCTGAAAGGAAGCTAATTACGCTCTCATCATAGATGAAATGGTGCGAAAAAATTTGAACAACTTCTAGCTCTGAAATTGGCGCTTAGATTAATTTTTGTTTTTGTTGTATAAGAAAAATCCACCGTTCAATCCAGTCTCCTCTTTTTGGAGTCTCCTCTTTTTGCCTTCAAGGAGTCGGAACACATCTGCATTCCCCACGACGAACTGTGTCTGCGAGACAGAGCCTGTCTTCTTTGCAAAGAGGTGCTTCCAACCAAAACGGAACTAACTGGAAACTATCGAGAAACGCACAGAAGGAATTCTGGGAATGGTTACAAATGCGTGTTGTGCTCACACAATTCTCTCACTTACGTCGCTTTCTCGAAACATGTGCGAACCATACATCAGTGCTTCTTCGTCGCCGATATGCCAGAGTATAGAATAACCCAGATTGTGAAGTCTGGCCTCCAGAACCCGAACCAGAAGAGATTCAATTGTGAGAACTGTAAAATGGCTTTCGGTGACTTCTCGAGAATCAGGCTTCACAAGATTGTAGCAGACAACCATACATGTAAAATCTGTTCGAAACGGTGTTGCAGCGTCCTGGACAAAGCGAAGCACTATAAACAGAATCACCCTAGTGAGTTTCCCAAGTTGAAGGGCACGCAACCTATATATCTCTGTAAGGCATGTAAAAAGTCATACAAGAGTCTGGAAAAGTACCAGTGTCATTTTGCCATTATACCAACATGAATACTTGTTGCTACTGTAGCGAACTGTTGCATAATGACGAAGAGCTGGACTCTCATATTCAAGAAGAACATGTCGCAAACTTAGATAGTCAGAAGCAATCATCGCTTAAATGCCCTCAGCTAGAATGTGAGCTTCAAACAAGTTCACTAATAGACTTGAAAATCCACATGTATCAGAAGCATTTCAAAACAGACCCGGTGTTTGTCTGCAAAAATTTGCTTTGTTTAAAGGTGCTGAGGTCTGAAAAACAGTATACGGCACAAATGAGCTCGTGTAGCTCGATGTGTAATCCATCCAGTTCTCCGCTCATACCTGTTTCTTCAAAGGAGAAACCAGCAGTTTTTGAAAAGAACTTCGAGACGTCGGAAGTACCAGCTCGTCAAATTACTAAAGCTCTAGAATTAATCTGTGTGGACTAATCTTTCCTTAGTCTCTTCCATGAGTTATTTAATCCCCTTAGATTAAGATTTTTAGGTTTAGTAGAAATGAAGTTGAACGAGCAGATGATTAAATTCACGGCGCAAAAAACCCGTGAGGGGTTTCAGTTTTTAATTTTTGGACTTTGATCCAAATACAGAGTGCGATAATCAAGTTCTTCTATGTAAATTCAATAAACACATTCTAACATTTGCTTGGGATAAAGTGAAAAAATGCGTTTTCTTTCAAATGATTCGGCAAAATTATTGAATGATATCTGTAGCTTTTTCAATTTTTCCACTAGCTCAGGTTTTTCAAGTTAAACTTGAATGTTTTGTTAATTTTTTACTGATAAAGCTTACTAAAAGAAGCTTTGACCTAATTTCGATTTTAAACCCGTACATTTGTGCAGTAATTCCACAAAATTGTAACCAGTTCTTTACACGCTTTATATTTAAATTTATAAATTGAAGCAAGTTTATACCCATATTTTGGCAAAATCAGTGAGCTGAAAAATGACTCGATTTGTAATCAATCCAAGCGCAGTTCTCTGCTTAAACTTGTTTCCCAAAAAAAGAAACCAGCAGTCACCGGAAGATGGTTAAATTTACAAAAAAATACGACGAAAAAGCCTGTTCTTTAAATTTCTTTATTTACAGAAGTATTCTGTCTGAATCATTATGCTACTATAAGTTTTTAATTGTCAGAAGTTCGGACGATTGTTATTTAGTGTCAAGGAGTTTTTTCTGTCGTCTTTTTTCAATTTTAGACGAAATTCGATTTGAAGCGGTTTGACTTTTGGTTTCTTGTAAAGGTCAATTCTATTTCATTTGCTAGATGAAGGCAAATTACGCTGCAGAAATAGCTGAAATGGTGCGAAAAATATGAACAACTTATAGCTCCGAGAGTGGAGTTTTGTTCAATAATTTTGTATAGAAAGAATTCTATGTTTGACCCATCATTTTTTTCTATTTGGGTTAATTTGAATGACAAAAACGTCAATCGAAAAAGTGAAGCGTTTTTTTTCAAGAGGGTCACTTTTTTAAAAAAAATAGTGGATTTAATTCAAAAAATTCACAAGTGAAAGCGCATAGTTTCTGCCATGTTTTGTGCTATCTTGTGTTCATTGACACTTTTCAAATGGCTTTAGCGTAGTTACCAATTTTGCACTACGAAAGGTTTTTAAAAAAACATTTAGCTTCAATTTCAATTTCTTTTACTCCTACCTTTCTGCAATATTTTGACAATATCAGGTCTTTCCTGTTTTTTTGAGGGTTTTTAGTTTTAAGGTTCTTAAAAAGAAATTAAAAAGGAAAAAGAAATTAAGATTGGTTCGGACCAAATTCGATTTTCTGCGGTTTGATTCCACAATGCTATTTGTAATAATTCAAATTCACTCGGTGAAAAGAAAACAAATTACGCATTCCAATTAGCGGAGATGGTGCAAAAAAACACGAATGTTTACAGCTTCGAAAATGGAGTTAAGTTGTTAGTTTTCCGTGAAGTTCAAAAAGTTACTTTTTTTAGGTCAAGTTGTTATTTAGGTCCAGTTGTTTATTCGGAAAAACTCCTAATTTTTTTTTACTTCAAATTGAATTCAAAAAATTTGATACTTGCTTGGTCTTCAAGACTAATTCTAGTTCATTTGCTGAAAGGAAGTTAATTACGCTCTCATCATAGATGAAATGGTGCAAAAAAACTTGAACAACTTCTAGCTCCAAAATTGGCGCTTAGATTAATTTTTGTTTTTGTTGTATAAGAAAAATCCACCGTTCAATCCAGTCTCCTCTTTTTGGAGTCTCCTCTTTGCCTTCAAGGAGTCGGAACACATCTGCATTCCCCACGACGAACTGTGTCTGCGAGACAGAGCCTGTCTTCTTTGCAAAGAGGTGCTTCCAACCAAAACGGAACTAACTGGAAACTATCGAGAAACGCACAGAAGCAATTCTGGGAATGGTTACAAATGCGTGTTGTGCTCACACAATTCTCTCACTTACGTCGCTTTCTCGAAACACGTGCGAACCATACATCAGTGCTTTTTCGTCGCCGATATGCCAGAGTATGGAATAACGCAGATTGTGAAGTCTGGCCTCCAGAACCCAAACCAGAAGAGATTCTATTGTGAGAACTGTAAAATGGCTTTCGGTGACTTCTCGAGAATCAGGCTTCACAAGATTGTATTAGACAACCATACATGTAAAATCTGTTCGAAACGCTGTTGCAGCGTCATGGACAAAGCGAAGCACTATAAACAGAATCACCCTAGTGAGTTTCCCAAGTTGAAGGGCACGCAACCTATATATCTCTGTAAGGCATGTAAAAAGTCATACAAGAGTCTGGAAAAGTACCAGTGTCATTTTGCCATTATACCAACATGAATACTTGTTGCTACTGTAGCGAACTGTTGCATAATGGCGAAGAGCTGGACTCTCATATTCAAGAAGAACATATCGCAAACTTAGATAGTCAGAAGCAAACATCGCTTTAATGCCCTCAGCTAGAATGTGAGCTTCAAACAAGTTCACTAATAGACTTGAAAATCCACATGTATCAGAAGCATTTCAAAACAGACCCGGTGTTTGTCTGCAAAAAATTGCACTGTTTAAAGGTACTGAGGTCTGAAAAACAGTATACGGCACATATGAGCTCGTGTAGCTCGATGTGTAATCAATCAAGTTCTCCGCTCATACCTGTTTCTTCAAAGGAGAAATCAGCAGTTTTTGAAAGGAACTTCGAGACGTCGGAAGTACCAGCTCGTCAAATTACTAAAGCTCTAGAATTAATCTGTCTGGACTAATCTTTCCTTAGTCTCTTCCATGAGTTATTTGATCCCCTTAGATTAAGATTTTTAGGTTTAGAAGAAATGAAGTTGAACGAGCAGATGATTAAGTTCACGGCGCAAAAACCGGTGAGGGGTTTCAGTTTTTTAATTTATTTTGGACTTTGATCCAAATACAGAGTGCGATAATCCAGTTCTTTTATGTAAACTCAATAACCACATTCTAACATTTGCTTGGGATAAAGTGAAAAAATGCGTTTTCTTTCAAATGATTCGGCAAAATTATTGAATGATATCTGTAGTTTTTTCAATTTTTCCACTAGCTCAGGTTTTTCAAGTTAAACTTGAATGTTATGTTAATTTTTTACTGATAAAGCTTTCTAAAAGAAGCTTTGACCTAATTTCGATTTTAAACCCGTACATTTGTGCAGTAATTCCACAAAATTGTAACCAGTTCTTTACACGCTTTATATTTAAATTTATAAATTGAAGCAAGTTTATACCCATATTTTGGCAAAATCAGTGAGCTGAAAAATGACTCGATTTGTAATCAATCCAAGCGCAGTTCTCTGCTTAAACTTGTTTCCCAAAAAAAAGAAACCAGCAGTCACCGGAAGATGGTTAAGTTTACAAAAAAAATACGACGAAAAAGCCTGTTTTTCAAATTTCGAAATTTACAGAAGTTTTCTGTCTGAATCATTATGCTACTATAAGTTTTTAATTATCAGAAGTTCGGACGATTGTTATTTTGTGTCACGGAACGTAGTGAAGAAATTTAGGCCGAGTTTTTTCTGCCGTCTTTTTTCAAGTTTTGACGAAATTCGATTTGAAGCGGTTTGACTTTTGGTTTCTTTTAAAGGTCAATTCTATTTCATTTGCTAGATGAAGGCAAATTACGCTGCAGAAATAGCTGAAATGGTGCGAAAAATATGAACAACTTATAGCTCCGAGAGTGGAGTTTTGTTCAATAATTTTGTATAAAAAGAATTTTACGTTTGACCCATCTTTTTTTTCTATTTGGGTTAATTTGAATGACAAAAACGTCAATCGAAAAACTGATGCGTTTTTTTTTCAAAAGAGGGTCACTTTTTTTTTAAATGTGGATTTAATTCAAAAAATTCACAAATGAAAGAGCATAGTTTCTGCCATGTTTTGTGGTATCTTGTGTTCTTTGACACTTTTCAAATGGCTTTAGCGTAGTTACCAATTTTGCACTACGAAAGGTTTTTAAAAAAAACATTTAGCTTCAATTTCAATTTCTTTTACTCCTACCTTTCTGCAATATTTTGACAATATCAGGTCTTTCCTGTTTTTTTGAGATTTTTTAGTGTTGAGGTTCTTGAAAAGAAATTGAAAAGGAAAAAGAAATTAAGATTTGTTCGGACCAAACTCGATTTTCTGCGGTTTGATTTCACAATGCTATTTTTAATAATTCAAATTCACTCGGTGAAAAGAAAACAAATTACGCATTCGAATTAGCGGAGGTGGTGCAAAAAACACGAGTGCTTACAGCTTCGAAAATGGAGTTAAGTTGTTAGTTTCCCGTGAAGTTCAAAAAGTTACGTTTTTTAGGTCCAGTTGTTATTTAGGTCCAGTTGTTTATTCGTGAAAACTTAATTTTTCTTACTTCAAATTGAATTCAAAAAATTTGATACTTGCTTGGTCTTCAAGACTAATTCTAGTTCATTTGCTGAAAGGAAGCTAATGACGCTCTCAATATTGATGAAATGGTGCGAAAAAACTTGAACAACTTCTGGCTCCGAAAGTGGAGTTTAGACTAATTTTTGTTTTTGTTGTATAAGAAAAATTCACCGTTCAATCCAGTCTCCTTTTTTTGGAGTCTCCTCTTTTTGCCTTCAAGGAGTCGGAGGACGTCTGCATTCCCCACGACGAACTGTGTCGGCGAGACAGAGCCTGTCTTCTTTGCAAAGAGGTGCTTCCAACCAAAACGGAACCAACTGGACACTATCGAGGAACGCACAGAAGCAATTCTGGAAATGGTTACAAATGCGTGTTGTGCTCACACAATTCTCTCAATTACGTCGCTTTCTCGAAACACGTGCGAACCATACATCAGTGCTTCTTCGTCGCCGATATGCCAGAGTATGGAATAACCCAGATTGTGAAGTCTGACCTCAAGAACCCGAACCAGAAGAGATTCAATTGTGAGAACTGTAAAATGGCTTTCGGTGACTTCTCGAGAATCAGCCTTCACAAGATTGTAGCAGACAACCATACATGTAAAATCTGTTCGAAACGGTGTTGCAGCGTCCTGGACAAAGCGAAGCACTATAAAAAGAATCACCCTAGTGAGTTTCCCAAGTTGAAGGGCACGCAACCTGTATATCTCTGTAAGGCTTGTAAAAAGTCATACAAGAGTCTGAAAAATTACCAGTGTCATTTTGCCTTACATTATACCAACATGAATACTTGTTGCTACTGTAGCGAACTGTTGCATAATGACGAAGAGCTGGACTCTCATATTCAAGAAGAACATATCGCAAGCTGAGATAGTCAGAAGCAGTCATCGCTTAAATGCCCTCAGCTAGAATGTGAGCTTCAAACAAGTTCACTAATAGACTTGAAAATCCACATGTATCAGAAGCATTTCAAAACAGACCCGGTGTTTGTCTGCAAAAACTTGTACTGTTTAAAGGTACTGAGGTCTGAAAAACCGGATACGGCACATATGAGCTCGTGTAGCTCGATGTGTAATCAATCCAGTTCTCCGCTCATACTTGTTTCTTCAAAGGAGAAACCAGCAGTTTTTGAAAGGAACTTCGAGATGTCGGAAGTACCAGCTCGTCAAACTACTAAAGCTCTAGAATTAATCTGTCTGGACTAATTTTTCCTTAGTCTCTTCCATGAGTTATTTGATTCCCTTGGATTAAGATTTTTAGGTTTAGTAGAAATGAAGTCCAACGAGCAGATGAGTAAATTCACGGCGCAAAAACCGGTGAGGGGTTTCAGTTTTTTAATTTATTTTGGACTTTGATCCAAATACAGCGTGCGATAATCCAGTTCTTTTATGTAAACTCAATAAACACATTCTAACATTTGCCTGGGATAAAATGAAAAAATGCGTTTTCTTTAAAATGATTTGCAAAATATTTGAATGATATCTGTAGTTTTTTCAATTTTTCCACTAGTTCAGGTTTTTCAAGTTAAACTTGAATGTTATGTTAGTTTTTTACTGATAAAGCTTTCTATAAATAGCTTTGACCTAATTTCGATTTTATACCCGTACATTTGTGCAGTAATTCCACAAAATTGTAACCAGTTCTTTACACGCTTTATATTTAAATTTATAAATTGAAGCAAGTTTATACCCATATTTTGGCAAAATCAGTGAGCTGAAAAATGACTCGATTTGTAATCAATTCAAACGCAGTTCTCTGCTTAAACTTGTTTCCCGAAAAAAGAAACCAGCAGTTACCGGAAGATGGTTAAATTTACAAAAAAAAACACGACGAAAAAGCCTGTTCTTAAAACTTCTTTATTTACAGAAGTATTCTGTCCGAATCATTATGCTACTATAAGTTTTTAATTATCAGAAGTTCGGACGATTGTTATTTAGTGTCAAGGAACGTAGTGAAGAAATTTAGGCCGAGTTTTTTCTGTCGTCTTTTTTCGCTTTTAGACGAAATTCGATTTGAAGCGGGTTGACTTTTGGTTTCTTTTAAAGGTCAATTCTATTTCATTTGCTAGATGAAGGCAAATTACGCTGCCGAAATAGCTGAAATGGTGCGAAAAATATGAACAACTTATAGCTCCGAGAGTGGAGTTTTGTTCAATAATTTTGTATAGAAAGAATTCTACGTTTGACCCATCAGTTTTTTCTATTTGGGTTATTTTGAAATACAAAAACGTCAATCAAAAAAGTGATACGTTTTTTTTTCAAAAGAGGGTCACTTTAAAAAAAAAATAGTGGATTTAATTCAAAAAATTCAAAACGAAAGCGCATAGTTTCTGCTATGTTTTGTGTAATATTGTGTTGATTGAATTCAGCGTAGTTACCAATTTTGCACTACGAAAGTTTTTAAAAAAATATTTAGCTTCAATTTCAACATTTTTACTCCTACCTTTCTGCAATATTTTGACAATATCAGGTCTTTCCTGTTTTTTTTTGAGATTTTTTTTTGTTTTAAAGTTCTTAAAAAGGAAAAAAATTAAGATTTGTTCTGACCAAATTCGATTTTCTGCGGTTTGATTCCACAATGCTATTTTTAATAATTCAAATTCACTCGGTGAAAAGAAAACAAATTAAGCATTCCAATTAGCGGAGATGGTGCAAAAAAAACACGATTGTTTACAGCTTTGAAAATGGAGTTAAAAGGTTAGTTTTCCGTGAAGTTCAAAAAGTTACGTTTTTTAGGTCAAGTTGTTATTTAGGTCCAGTTGTTTATTCGGGAAAACTCTTAATTTTTTTTTACTTCAAATTGAATTCAAAAAATTTGATACTTGCTTGGTCTTCAAGACTAATTCTAGTTCATTTGCTGAAAGGAAGCTAATTACGCTCTCAATATAGATGAAATGGTGCGAAAAAACTTGAACAACTTCAAATCCGAAAGTGGAGTTTAGATTAATTTTTGTTTTTGTCGTATAAGAAAAATTCACCGTTCAATCCAGTCTCCTCTTTTTGGACAGTTTGATCTGCAAAAATGTCAATCGAAAATTTTCTATGTTTCTTTCAAAATGGTCTTTTTTTTAATTGGTTGATTTAATTCAAAAAAGTGTCAAGTGAAAGCGCATAGCATTTACCATGTTTTTCGGTTTCTTGCGTCATTTGACGCTTTTTCAATGAATTTTGCTTTGTTGCAATTTTTAGTAGTCGCAGTATTAGTCGCAAAATAAATCCTGATTTTTAAAATCAAACACTGAAAAATTTATTCAAGAATTGGAAGTTATTAGCTCCATCTTGGGAATAAAAATTTTCAAAACATCAAAAAAAAAATTCTACAAAAAACGGATGTATTTTTTTTGTTATTGTTTGTTGTGATCATTTTTCGACAACCGTCGTCCAATATGCCTATAACTCTCAGAAATGCCCAAATATAGGGTTTTGTCCATATCCTTCCATCACACCACACACAAAAAGAAACGAAAATATTTTTTGGTAGCTTCTGAAGAATATGGTCGGAACATGCTGTGCTACTTGCACAGTAATGGGCTATCCTTGCTAGTGGTGTAGTCATGGGAAGATTTTATTCATTCTTTGTGCATAAGATGCTTTTGGCTGCGCCTATTAGTCAGTTTTTTTGCTGTATTTAGAAGTTCGATTTTTTCAGAACAGGATTCTGAAGTTGCAATTTATTTGCGATCAAGTCGTTTTTGGAAATACGTTTATCTGTTTTTCTTAAATTCGCGTGCCGATAATTTTAGTTTTGATTCAAGAAGGTGAGTTTAAAAGAAACGCTGAATAATGTTACTCTAGGCTAATTTGCTTCAAAGCAAAATTTTGAAATTGCCATAACTGTTTTAATCCGAGTAAAAATTTCTTGTCTAATTGAGAGGCTCAGTCAATTTGTGCTATTTGCTAGAAATGAGAACAGCTGGTCACGGTTCATGTAGCGCAAAATATTCCGACAACAGCGATCATTGTAAATACTTGGATCAATAGTGGTGAAAAAAAATCATTTTAAATAATATCTACATTTTTAATTTTGCGTTTTCAAAAAGATCAAATCGGCAGACGCTAAAGTTGGATTAACGGTTAATAGCGGTTAATGTTGCTTTTGTGAGCGTATTGATTATCATTGTTTCAAATGGACCAGGATTTTTTAAAGAAGAGTCTTCGCTAGTTTTTTGGTCTGGATAGTCATAAACTCTATGCAATTATCCTCGACAATGAGGCAACTTTTTTGTTTTGGAATCCGAATCAAGACCAATGGTGATTTAATATAATAAGACACATGATCACTCACCAACTTTCTTTAGGATATTTGCAATCAGGCTGAGAAAGTCCCCCCTACACTAGTTCCTTCCAGTCATTTGTGACGTGGTCGGAACAAAAAATGTTTTGAGAGCTTAATTGGCAGTTAACTTACTGAAATTAATTGCAGATTATTTTCAGTGTTGGAATGTAATTTGGTGGTTTGTTAAAAATTAAACAAAATTTACGAACAGTAGTGATTCTATCAATCAAGTAACTTTCGGTTGTGCTCGGCAAAATTGTCTACACCGTAGCCATGTCTTCCACGCCTTCTACTGGCGGCGTCAACTCATTAGGTGCTCTCCCCCTCCCCAATGAGAGCCAAATGGGGGGAGTGAAAGTGCAGCAGAAGAGTCAGAAATACCCGGAGAGGGAGTTGAAAATCAGAATAGAGGACGACTTCTGCTACAACAACAACGTTCTCAATGCCCCCACGCAGATTCGATTAGGTGGGTACATGTGTTGTACTTGTACTCAACAAGGGCGTATGCACATTTATTATAAGACATCGCTTTGGGTACTTCTATAAAAGCATCGACCAAAAATCAAGCATCGGCTGTTCGAATTGCGAGCGTTAGCAAAATCTCGATCCCAGAAACAAGCTGGTTTCACAGTATTGACTGAGTATTCTCAGATTTTTAGAAACATCATCTGGTTAAAATGTTAGAGAAAGTTTGGACAATTATATGTTATTCTAGGCTTCATCAGGAAGGTGTATGCAATCCTGACTGCACAGCTGTGTGCCACTGTGTTCGTCTGCTCTATTTTCATGCTCAATGAGTCAGCGAAGACTTTCATTCAGTCCAAGTAAGATGTCAAATTAAATTTAGACTTGGGGTAAGATCAGCATTGGCATGTTTTGGGCAGGTAGCACCTAAATTTGTTAACTCAAAACAAATACTTCAGCTAGCAACTCAATCTGTTCAAGTGGTTCCTTCATCTGCTCGGCGTTAAATTTTTAAAATTGTTATGTGGCGTCGTTCATCCGGAGATTCGTAATCACTAGGAGCCAGAAAAGTGCGCTAAGTTTCTTTTTGAATTATGAGAACTATGCTTTGACTGAATAACAAAATTCAGTGAGCAGACTGTCTGAAATGTTTTTCAAACGGTCTTAAAGGCGAGGAAAACTTCAATCCATTTTAATTTAACCCTGATTTTGGTCCTAACTATAACAAACTAAACATTTATCGATATTTTGTGCATTTGTACACTAGCAAGCGTAGTGTCGTAATACGATTCCACTTATTCAGATTTTTTCAACCCAGCTCGCAAATAAAAGTGCGCATTGGTGGATTTTTACTTGCATTAGCATTGGCGGTTTAATAGTATCTGTTCTTTGCTTTATTGGTGTCTAGTCGTTGCCTATTGTCAAGCGACAGTCCATTGTCAGTAACCTTTAGTCGTTGCCTATTGTCAAGCGACAGTCTATTGTCAGTAACCTTATGTTCAAGTTGGCAATACAATTCCGGAACATAGCAAGAGTTTTTTTAAACTTTGTTTCAACCTTACCAAGGCTTTATTGGCGATTGGCTAGTTTTTGCCCATTTTCAAGCTGTCTACAGGTCGTTGACTTGATTTCGACACAGCAAAAGTTCTATTTTTAAGGTTTATGTAACCTTTTTTTTTCTTGTTTTACATTTTTCCATTTAGCTACTTTTTGCTTGTGTCTGCGAATTGCAGCTTCGCCCGTCTTTAATATTTAGTGTCCTTTGATTTTTAATACTGTCCTAATTTTGGTATACTGACTTCTCATGTCGCTTTTTTACACAAGCACGCTTGCGAGCATTTTGCTATATTACAGTCCATTGTTTTCCAATTCAACTTGCATACAATAGTAATCATTTTAGTAAACATTTTTGCTCCATTGTGTTCTTCGCTTTATCATTGGTTGGTCTGGGACAACAAGCCGAAGGGACTTCATGCCATATTTCAAACCTTTCAGGCGCTTGAAAACTCTTCGGCATTATCAATTTTGCGTGCATTTTTAAACATAATTAAATTAATCGTTAAAAATTTTGGGAATACACTAATGTGAAGTACAATAATCGAGTTTGATATCTGCTCACCCGCATCAGCCGGTTTTTCGAAATGAATAAATTATAATTTAAAAATGCTCTGAACTTCGTTTTATTTTTCAAAATTCTTAAATATCCATAAAAAGCTGTTAACTTAGGAAAAACGGAAAATATTGTCTAGAACGCGCATGACATAGAGTATCCTTTCCAGATAACTTTCAACACCACTGAATTTTTCGGCTTGAATATTTGGGCTAGTTGACTAGAATACTCGAGCTCTGTGGTACGATTCCCGTTAATTGTTCAAAAATTTTGTAACTTTATTTTGCATTTTTTGTCGTATTTAACTTTTTAATCCTACTTACTTGCGTTTGTGAAGTGCAGCTTTGCCTATGTGCTCAAACTTCTTATTTGATTTGTATCGAAAATGAAAGAAATTTGGTTTAGCTCGCCATGTGCTATAAATGAGACTTTTCTATGTTTGGTCATATTTAGGGGCACAACTGCAGTTCTCCGGAAAGAACTGAATGAATTATGGCACTCTATTGTGGTTAATTTTTCTGCATCTTGATGATGTTCTCTGAATATTTCAGCCAGTGGCTGGTGTTTGTGCTGGCCTTTGCTACTCTAGGAGTTTTGATTGGGATGCAGGTGAACAGGAACAAGTACCCCACAAACTTCATCCTCCTCGCCACATTCGTAAGTCATCACTCACACTCTCTTTCATCGAACCTAGGTCCGATTCAATCAAAGTACATCCAGTTTGTCTACGCAGAAAATTAAGTTATAATGAATCTTGTTTTAGACTTGCGAGTTCAAGTTTTTCGTAACCAAGAAGAAGACTTTTTTTCAAATAAACATCTTTTTTCATAAATTTGAAAGAAATTGAGCTTGCTTAATAATAATAATAATAATAATAATAATAATAATAATAATAATAATAATAATAATAATAATAATAATAATAATAATAATAATAATAATAATAATAATAATAATAACAAAGGATTTAGGAATATAATCCAAGGGTTCGCATAAAACCCAGTCATTGCATTGTCAATTTAATATAATGATAAAATGCCGCCCTAGGTGCCAAAAGTTTGGGATGGTAGCCACGACTGAGCTTTGTGTTTTCTCGCTAGGTATTCATCAGGTTTTTCAAATTCTTCGGCTTATTGGACTTTGCCGCAGTTCTTGTAGAATAAAATTTCGTCAATTTTTTCATGAGTTAGCCTATTTATTGTATTCAGTTGTCATCATTGTTTATATAACGATTAAACTTTGCTTTTTTTTGGCTTTCGTATTTTTGACCGAGGCTGTCGGATGGTTTTGTCCCCTTATATGATTTTTTCATTTTGTCCTAAATATCCTGATTGAAATGAAACAATAAATTAAGGTCGAAGTCTAAAGTGTGGTGTACTTCAAGGCGCAATTTTGTGGCCTCTTTTATTCATAAACTGCATCAATGACCTTTCCAAGGTTTGCAAGACCTGTGATATCTATCTTTTTGCGGATGATACCAACGTAACTGGATTAAATTGTCCTCTAAAAAATTTTAATCAGGATATCTGCGGAATAGAGAAATTGTTATTTATAAACAAATTATCGCTCAATATGGATAAGACTGTTCAATTGAATTTATCAAATAATATTGCTTCCTTTTCTGGTCTGTCTATGAGTAATGAATCTTTGAAGCATGCTTCGTCGTGTAAATATCTTGGTGTTTATGTAGGTTCTCAACTTTTTTTTGCGTCGTATTGATTTTGTGCGAACGAAGCTCAGAAAACATTTCTAAAATGCGTCATCATCTTCCTGAATCAGTTTTTTTCAGAATACTAGTGCTCGAATATCAAACCAGTTTTGCGATACGGAGTTCTCGTTTTTTTGTTGCACCAGCGATACATCGTTTTTGCCTCTTTTCATGATTTAAAAAAATTCATTTTGGTTTTTTTTAAAAGAAAATACGGAAGCATTCGGCTTATCTCGTGAAAAAAATACTTAATGTTGCTCAAGTTTGATCTGATATCTTTGTCATTACGCTCAGAAGATTTTTTGAATAGTTTGTAGCACTTTGACGAGCTAGTTTGAAACTTTGAAAATTTTATATCTCAAAAGCAAGATACAAAGAGCATCACTTACTCACAGGGGTTCTATTCAACTTCTGGTACCCGCAAAATTTGATAATTTTTTCTTCTGGGATGTCTAGAGCCTTGCTCATGAAATACGAGGCTTGTTTATCTCAAGTAATGAATATTGAATTAAATGTCTTTTTTGCGATTCAATTTACCGCAACTGATTAGATGTATAGAATCATAATATACTGATGTTATGCAAATCGTTTTGTCTCTTGAACTCATAGTTTTCCAGGCGCTTTATGCGACTAGAAATTCATTCTTGGGCTTGTTCACTTGTTACTGTCGCATAGGATCAGTTGGTACCTATTGAACATTTAGCCCCCAATCAATTCTATTGGTGTTATTGAGGCTCTAGGTGATGGGAAAGAGGCAGTAGAAGCATTAACCGCTAAGTGAGCAATTTAAAGTTTTGTTATTAAACAGGCAGTACGACTAGCCGAGTTTTCAGAATTTCAACACCTAAAACCGTGTTTTAGACATAATTTTGTCTGTGCTCTAATTATACCAATTGATAAACAAATAATGCCTCGTAGTTAATAGTCTGTGTAAGGCTCTGGCTGCACTGTCAGAAGAACGCTGCTTACTTTGAGCAGTTCTTCTCTTTCCTCGTTATAGCTTATGCTTATGTTACTATTTCATGCGCCTGTCATAATTTCATGTAGCAACTAGTAACCTCAAGTGGTTCATCAGTTACCCAGTCAGAGTTTAATTTTTTTAAATGTGCCGTTGGTGGTTATTTGAAGTATGTAATGTAATTTGTTACGATAGGATTTAAGTTCTTCTTCCTCTTCATCATTTGCTGAAAAAGGCAGATTGCGCTCTGGGAAAAAATTGCTGAAATGGTGCAGAAAAACATGGATGATTTTTTTGTTCCATAGAGATTCGATCTTAATCTGATAGTTTTTCTTTTACAAACTAAAGTATTGAATTTTTTCAAGAAGAAAACTGTTTTTTTTTTAGTTTTCTTGAGTTCAGTTATAGTTGCAACCTTTTGTTGGCCAAATTTTATAAGCTTTTTTTTCTATTATCCCAAAGAGTCAATCAAGCAAAAGTAACGAGTTCGTCTTGAAACTGATTTTGATCTGTCTGTTCTTGAAGTTTCTGTTCTCCAGTAATTTCGGTTCAAATTATTTCATTTCATCCTTAAGGCTTGATTTGTAGCGCAATTGATAATGTCCTTGTCTTCTTGGTGTTTTTTTTTGCATAAAAAACTTACTATTGAGTTTTGACGAGTGATCAAATTCTAAATGCGAATTTCGACATTTTTTTGAAAATGTTTGTCTTCTGCGGTTTTTAGAAATTTGAATTTTTTTCATGGAAATTTAATCAATTTTGTTTCAGAACGAAGCACTGTTTTTGGTTGGAATTTAATGGAGTGGATTTTGAATTAGTTTTCACATTTGTTTTTCCTCTATCTATATCTTCCCTGGAAAAAGCTCATTATAGTGAAAGAACGTTTAGTTTATGATAAAGGTACCATGGTCCAGGTAGGGCTATTTGAGGCAATGCTGCTCTCCACCCGCCACAGTGATATCCCGAAACAAAGTTCTCCACTACATCTTGTTTTGTGTCGAATCTTTGGATCGTTTGAATCACTCATTCTTCCGTGTCTTGATCGTCATTATGGGCGGCTTCACAAAACTTTTAATAACATCTCGGACTATTTTGCGCCATGACTTTTGCTGCCACCTGGAGGTCGTCGCCAAGCCTCTCCTTTTTCAAGTTCTAGGGCAGCATTCGGGATCTTCGAGGGTTCAAGTGAAGAACATGCCCCAGCCACTTCAGCCTTCTGAGTTGTGTATTCAAGGTTATGCTTTTTGCTTTCGGCCTTATGTCTGATGATGGTAGGTCGTATCGGATGTGGAAAATTTTTCGTAAGTACCTTCTTTCAAAGGCATCCATTCGTTTGATATCAGATTCTTTGATGGGCCACGTTACGGCTCCATTAAAAAAAGAACACTTCTGACGCAGGCCTTGTAGCTTTTGGATTTAAAGCTTTCGAGACTTTTCTTGATTTCGAATATGCTTTGGGTTGTTAAATTTTCCGGTTGCGTTTCCTATCCGGGTTTTGACCTCTTTTGGTGTTTCGCCCTTAGTTGAAGTCTACCTCCCAAATGAGTGAAGTTTTCTACTCTTTCTACTTAGTGGTTGTTGAGGGGAAACGCTTCCGGGTGTCACATCATATTCTCCGAGTTCTCTTTTACGTGCCTGGAGCTTTTTGTTATGATCTTCCTCTCGCGTGTGTAAGAGGTAAGTCTTGTCGGGAATTGGTAGCTGATGGTGTGCTTCCTCAATATGCTTTTTCATTTCAATTAGGTACTTTTTGTTGCACCAGACTGCGCATTCCTTGCACTGGACGAAAGTGTGCACTTTTTTCCCTTAGTGTGTTTAAGTGACACCCCTCAATCGCCACACTGAACACTCCATCTGGTATTCCACCATTTCCTTGGAAAATTCAATTGGATAAGCGCAAAACGAGCATAGAGCTACGGCTCCAAAATCGGTTGCTCCTGTCTGTTTCTCCTCTCTCGTTGCCTCTTGTCCCTCCATCTGGGACAGGAGCTGTCCCTCCATCTGTCTCGGTTCCATCTGTCTGTTGCTCCTGTCCCTCCATCTGGAGCAGGAGCGGTCCCTCCATCTGTCTTGGCTCCTCCTGTCCTCCGCATGGGCGTCTCGGTTCCTCCTGTCCCTCCATCCTGTCCTCCATCTGGGCTTCTTCGGTTCCTCCTGTCCCTCCATCTGGGATTATCGATTCCCCCTGTCTTTCTGGTTCCTCCTGTCTATCTGGTTCCTCCTGTCTGCCTGGTTTCTCCTGTTTGTCTGGTTCCTCCTGTCTGTATGGTTCCTCCTGTCTGTCTGGCTCCACCTGAGTGTGTCGATGTTCCTGAAAAAACAGAAGGACCTCTTTTTCTTACCGGGGAAAACTAACCTTGGATAAGGGAACCACAGAACAGTGTCTGCAGACAATAAGGATCTAAAAACAAATAAACTCATAAACAAAAACTACACAGTACAAATTTTCGCTAATTTTTGTTATCGGTTTCAATTTTAGTTGGTTCTAGCAAGCCCTCCTCCAATAATCAATTGGCTCGGAAAAAATACTAAGTCCTACTAAATTACTAAAAACACTAAAATACACAATACTAAATTCTCGACCTTTACAAGTCAATAAAAGAAAAGCTCCAGTTCATTGGAATAATTACTGTGCTCCAGAACTAAGTTTGAATTCGAAGTGAGTTTCTACAGAAAATCTGCCATCTTGAGGTGTGTGTAACTGAGCAATGGTGCAACATAAACAGACGAGGCCTGCAGTTTGCTCAGTTCCATTATCAGTGCCCGATAGAGGCTCACAAAAGTTGTGGTGTTGTGGGCAGGGTCCAAGGTAGATACTGCCGGGTGCACTTGAGCACAAAGCTTCATCGGATCCATTCTCGGTCCACCCATTGAACTCATACCAATTCCAGGTGATATATTACAATAGGTGGCAAGTACATCTTAAATAGCTGAATCACTTTTGGTTTTACTTCGAATAGTGCTTATTATTTATTTCGAAAGCCAATTTTTTGGCAAAAAAGTGTGATTTTTGAATACATTTTCATCTGCCAGAGTAATGTATTTTCAAAAACTATCTGAGCAGTATTCACAATTGATTGAAAAGGAAATGACTATAGTATGCATTATAGTTCTCAAATTCAGTACGAATTTTGAGGACTTTCCATGAACTCCAATTCATTACATCGTTGAAATCAATCCACTCATGCTGAACAACGCTGGGGGAGCAGAACTTGTTTTTGTCAACATTTGTTTCGAGTCCAACGTACGCTGTGTTTCGGCATCTCGATCAAGGAGTTTTGTGCGTCTTTGAATTATCCTCGAGCACTTAGATGTCTACTGCAAAATCCAGATCCGCAACAACCATGTCGTCTAGTGTGATTGCAAGATTTTCGCTTTCAAAGTCTCTGGAGATTGCTCAGTCGATGGTCAGTTTAAAGAGAAAGGGTGCCAATTCACCCTTTCCTGTCACCTTTGAGAATTATAATTTCTCTTGAAATGCTATTATAGACTTTTACTTGGCTTTAAGTTTCAGTGTACATAGACTTCGACAGATTTTTTAGACTCCGTCAGACCAAGGTTACGGCAAATTTCACGTAACTTCTGTCTACACTATCGAACGCTGCTTTGAAGTCATTGAATATAAGATTTGTGTTTCGTTTAAGTGTAAAGCCTTCTTGGTTTTCCTTGTATAACTCTTGTATGCTGGCTGTTATCGATTTTTCAGCATTGCTTTGAGAACTCTTAAAGCTATTACAGTTAAGGATATTCCTTTGTAGTTGCTACAAACCGCTTCATCGTTTTTTTTTTGTGTCTCGGTTTTATTTCAGCTGTTTTCCACTCATGGGATTTTTTTTCTATTCCCATATTTTATGGTTACTTTTTACAAAACTTCTTTGCCACCATCCTTCAGTAGTTATGGGGGGTAAGATGGTTAGTTTGTACAAAACTTCTTTGCCACCATCCTTCAGTAGTTATGGGGGTATGTCGAACGAACCCTGCAGCTTAATTTCGTTCAAGTTTTTTTAATGGCATTGGATACCTCGAAAGTAGTTGGTGGTTCAGATTTGAGAAATGCGAAGGGCTGCGCAATGGTTGAATGCATTTACATTGGGTCTAGAGCTGACCTTTCAGAAGAATTTTGAAATGCTTGGCCCATTCTTCTACACGCCCTTTTTTTGTCTGTTATAAACTCGCCATTTGAACCTTTCAGCGTTTCCGTCTGAGCTTTTTTTTTTGAATGCTAATTGCTTTACATTTAAATATACAAAGGTTTCCTGATTCATATACAAAGGTTTCATGTTCTTCGGCCAAGTTCTTGTAGTATGTGGTTTTGTCATTGCGGTCTTTTCGTTAATCTTCTTTGCGTATTTTCGCCTTTGTCCTTTCGTTTCTTGCTCTGGCAGGTTTTTCAATTACTTTTATTGTTTCACTGCTATTCAGTGGCTTGCTTTTTGATCAGTTGAAGCCAAGGGGGGTTTCAGCTGCCGTGTATCGTTATTTGACCTACGCTGCTTTGTCGATTTTAGCATTGAGCGATAACTTTCCTAATGCTAATTGGTATTGTTTGGTAGTTTCTGAATTTTTGAGGATAGCTGTTTTATTTCACCCTTTTCACTTGTTTTGTGTATGCTTTCAGTCTGAGGTGGATTACGGACAAAGCCTGATTATGGTATTACTGGATCGCCACCTTCGTCATATCATAATATGGGCTATTTGATTTCTACCATGGCGTCATTTAAGCGCCAGCTGTTGCAGGATTGTTTCTTTTTGTGGAGTGTATTGCAGCGTACAATATTGCTTAGGACTAAAATTTGCGAGATATTCACTATTTGCGTTTTTTGTTCAACATCCAAAACGGCCGATATGCTTCTCTTCGCCATCAAGCGGTTCGCCTACCTTGACATTTAGGGCTCTGTCTAAAATAAGTATATCCTTCTTGTAATTCAAGGAAGAGTTTATAGCTTGGAAGAAACTATATCTTTCTTGAGTTTCTTCCTTGCAATTCAAAAGCAGCCTATCGAAGTATTCTTTATCTGCATTTTTGTGGCACGCCCACTCCAAGTCTCACTGAGTTTCTTTTGTCCGGCTTCCTAGTTCTCGGTGAAAATTGTTTCAAAACATAATCCTTTTTTCGTTAGGCATCGATTATTCAAGACATGACGAGATGAGCTGGTAGTAGGGGTAAACTATCAAACATAAGTTACGAAATTTAAATAGGTTTTGAGTTTAAGATGAGTCCAACGTTTGTCCATTCATATTGTACTCGCGGTTGTTTTATGCTCGTTGCTTTTTGCTAAAAGCTTTGGTAATTTTGAAGATAGTTGCTGAGTAGCGATAATGTTGAAGGTTTTTATTCGAAAGTTGAAATGGTTTGGTTTTGTCCTACCATTACTTTAAATGTTTTTACCCCTACAATAAGCAAGGGTATTGCAATCGGGCAATAGACTTTTTTTGCCGCAAACAACTTTTTTCACAGAATGTTCATTGTAAACTGGACCCAAATAGTAGCAATTTACCACTTCGTAGTTTTTGTAGCGGCAGTTTTTCCAACTTTTAAAAGTTATTATTTCAAGTAATTTTTTCAACTTAATTTTCAGAATTTTTTTTTATTGACATGTCTCTTTCCACTGATTATATTGTAGCGCAATATGTAGCATAATGCGTTGTTCTTAAAAGCTAGTTCAATACTGGCTGTTGTGTTCTGCCATAACATTTGAAAGTTTTGGGTATTGTTTTTATTGGCGTTTTGTCAATTTTTTTTAGTCGGTGGCTTTGTGTATTGCAAGTGGTGCAAAGCTCACCTTCGCCTCTGTGTTGTATGTTTTGGTCAAAAGTTTCTTTAGCTTGCGATTAACTGCCCTGTTCTGTTATATTTTTGCTTTCAGTTTTCGGTGAAATCGGAAAAACAAAGAATATTGATGATTTTTTTTTTTTTCATTTTTCTTTGTTTCTCTTGCGATTATAAATTTTTACTTATACTTATTTCAACCGTCGGTCTCAAATGATTTTTTGGTGATGGATTTGCATGTAGTCCGTTATTAAAATATAGTTTCTAGGAGCTCGTATCTATTCAGATGACAGCTGAAAATAATTAAAAATGTGAAATAAAAAGCAAATTTGAAGGCTTTTTTTGAAAAACCTTTTTTTTGACAGCGAAAAAGATACAAAAATATTTAAGGTTGAGCTGACCACGAAATTGTTAATTTGCTTTTATTAAATAAAATTTAGGCAAATTTTCTCTTTGTGTTAGCTATAAATTTTTGCTGTCTAGAAGTTCGATAAGATGAAATGAGTCTTTTCTGAAATGTATAGGGTATTGTTTTTTTTTTTACTATATTGGTTAAATATTCTGATTTGAGTTAGTTTTTTGTGCCATGTAGACTTTAATGGAGAGTGTGATGTTGGGATCCCTGGTGACATTCTACGATAGTGGTCTGGTGCTGGAGGCATTTGCCATCACCCTCTCCCTCACTGTGATGCTCATGTGCTATGCCTCCCAGACTAAACACAACTACACCTCTTGTGGTGCAGCTCTCCTCGTCTCTCTCTGGCTTCTCATTCTAGCACCACTCTTCCAGGTCAGAACATATTCTATAAAGTGCCAATGCAATTTCCATATGAAATTATTCAGTATCATTTAACGTAGTGAAGACACACAGTTCGGGTATTTTTTTTTGTCAAGAAAAGGTTTTAAAAATTGCTCACACTCAAATTTTATTTTTCGCGGTTTGACTTTTGGTTTCTTTACCTTTGCGACAGCAAGGGTATTGCAATCGGGTACTAGACTTTTTCCCCCGCAAACAATTTTGTCCACAGATTTCAGCATGCATGCTGCACACATGAAATTAGGTCACTAAGACGATTTATTTCAAGTTGAATTCAAATTTATTTGCTGAATAACAGACAAACAACGCTCTCCAATTATCAAATTAAAAATGGAGGCAAACAAGTTTGATGACTTCAATTTTCAAAAAAAAAAAACATTTTAATTTTTACCCTTGCGATAAGCAAGGGTATTGAAATCGGGTATATATTTGTTTCGACTAAAAAATTTTTTCTGCCCAAATGATTTCGGCCTATACTTTATCGGCTTAGTGACCTATTTTCAAGTTGTTTCAATGGAAACATATTTTTTATGCTCACCTCTGGAGTGCACAAAATGCTAAACATCTTAATAGAAATTATAGTTAACATTTTTTATGACAACAAATCGCTTTTTTGTTTGTTTTTCCCTCTTTTTCGGCTTGATAGATTTCGGCCTATATTTGTCGGCTTATCGGCCACATTTTGCGTCCTTTGACGAGCAAAAAAGTGTGTGTGTGTGTGTGTGTGTGTGTGTGTGTGCGTGCGTGTGTGTGTGTGTGTGTGTGCGTGTGTGTGTGTGCGTGCGTGTGTATTTGTTTTGAGGGCGAGGGCGGCTTAATAATTTTTTAGTCATATTTTTTTTCTATATTTTTTGGGGTTTCATAGGTTTTGGACTATATTATATCGGCTTAGTTGTCTCATAATGTTTCATTTGACGAGCAAATAATGTTTTTTGAGGGCGAGTGGGACTTTTCATAAGTCTTAAATTTTCTTGATTATTGTTTTGGCTTAAAAGGTTTCTGCCAAGGTATTTGTTACAGCTTGGTAATTCATCTTCCGATGCTAATTTTACATTCTATTGTCCCGGCTGGTTTCTGCTTCAAAACTAGTCTTTTAATTATGGTAGATCTAGTTTTTTCGCCATTCTCTATTTTTTCTTTAGTTTTATCGCAAGTGGTGAGAAGCTCAGCTTCGCCTCTGTGTTTCAAGTTGAATTCAAATTTATTTGCTGAATAACAGACAAATTACGCTCTCCAATTACGAAATTACAAATGGAAACAAACAAATTTGATGACTTCTATTTAAAAAAAAAGCTTTTTAATTTTCACCTTTGCGATAAGCAAGGGTATTGAAATCGGGTATATATTTGTTTCGATTTGAAATTTTATTCAGCCCAAATGATTTTGGCTTATATTTTATTGGCTTAGTGACCTAAATACAAGTTGTTTCAATGAAAATATAAGTTTTATGCTCACCTCTGGATTGCACAAAATGCAAATTATCTTAATAGAAATTATAGCTGAAATTTTTCATGACAACAAATCGCCTTTTTTGTTTGTTTTTCCCTCTTTTTGGTTTGATAGATTTCGGCCTATATTTGTCGGCTTATCGGCCACATTTTGCGTCCTTTGACGAGCAAAAAAGTGTGTGTGTGTTGTATGTATGTGTGTGTGTGTGTGTGTTTGTGTGTGTGTGTGTGTGCGCGCGTGTGTTTCTTTTGAGGGCGAGGGTAGCTTAATAACTTCCTGTTAGTCACAATTTTTTTTCCGATGTTTTTTGGGCTTTGTTATATCGGCTTAGTTGTCTCAAAACGTTTCATTTGACGAGCAATTAATGTTTTTTTTGAGGGCGAGATGGACTTTTCATAAGTCTTAAATCTTGTTGATTATATTATCGGCTTAAAAGGTTCCTGCCAAGGTTTTTGTTACCGCTTGGTAATTCATCTTCCGATGCTAATTTCTTATTCATTGTCTCGGCTTGTTTTGTTTCAAAACTAGCCTTTTTAGTTATGGTGGATCTAGTTTTTTCGATTTTTAATCTGTTTTATTGCAAGTGGTGCGAAGGCCAGCTTCGCCACTGTGTTTCAAGTTGAATTTAAATTTGTTTGCTGAATAACAGACAAATAACGCTCTCCAATTACGAAATTACAAATGGAGGCAAACATTTTGATAAGTTCTTTTTTCAAAAAAAGCAATTTAATTGTTATCCTTGCGATAAGCACGGATATTGAAATTAGGTAATGGACTTCTTTCAGCGTAAATAACTTTGTTCACAGGATCTGCTCCTATTTCATGGTCTCCATTTCCAATCTCGCCAAGTTGCACGTCAGCACGTTGCCATATTAACAGTAAGCTTAGAGCTACTGGAGCGATATTGTGTCTACAGTTGACACAATCTTCAAAAAATTATTGATTTTTTCGGCTTTATTAATTTGGTCCAAATTTTTGTCGGATACTTGCCGGCTGTTTATTTCTTATAATTTTGTTAGATCCTTTAATCATTCTCTTTTTTCATTTTCAAGAGGGTAATTATAGTTTTGTGGTTTTCTGGTTGCTTATATAAAACAATTTTTTCTGTTAGAAGATAGAAAAGTCGAAAAATTTGCATTCCTTCATTTTTAAGCGTGATGAACGTGGCGAAGACTTTTATGTCTTGCTGATTTTTTTTTTTTCAGGAAAAAGTCTTAAAATTTTGATGCACTTAGGTTTAATGCACTTTTTGAGTTCAATTGAAATTAATCTGCAGAAATTGACGTAAATAGGACTCGTGGCGCGAAAAAAACGTGAACGATTTCTAGCTTCGAAAGTGGAATTTATTTTTAAGATTTCCCAGCGGAAAGCAAACTTTACCTTCCAGTTTTCTCAAGTTGGGTTCATGTTATCAAAAAAGTGCAAATCAAATTATTCTAGAACTTCAAAGAGTTTAAGGGCTTCTGTTTTTTTCTTTGAAGTTCGAAATTCAAGATTTTTTTCAAGAAAGAATGTTTTTTTTTTAAATGTTTACTAGCGCGTTCATTACTCTTTTCCAATCTTCGATTGGCTATGTTTTCGAATGAATGGCTTGGGGTTGTACTTCTATCTTCAAGTGTCTGGAATCCATCTGTTATATAGTTTTTGTGGTTTCAGGGTTGAGCCATGTTATGTGAAATCGATGCTGGGGGTAAAGTTGTTGGGGTAATGTTCGTGTTTAATTGTCGAAAAACCTTTCGAAAAAATTTCATACATTTTCGGAAAATGTTTTCTTTTGCTTTTTTCTTTTGACTTTTTTGTCATTGAAGGAATGTGGCGAGTGTTGTACGACATTCATGATTGTGATTTTTTCCTGACTGAAATTATTGGAAAATTGAATTTTAGTGTTCCTTTCTGTATTTAATTTAAGGGCGTCTTTTTCGTTTTACTTTTTCTTTGAGATCCATTGCAAACCATTTTCATATTTGATATAAATGGATTATTTTATAGGCTTTTAGAGTTTTTATTTTTTAGCTTTTCAAGTTCTTTGTTCAAGTTCTGTTTTGTGGCGATTGTTTGAAAATGTTGCATTCATTTGTTTTGTAATTTTTTGTCCATTTTTGCTTTCAGTATGGTTGCAGTTTATAGCAAATACGGGAAAGGGTTTTTTATCACCAATTGTTCATGTAGGATGCGCAGGTTGGTTACTTGCAAAATTTTAAGCAATGTTTTTGAGATGATTCAGGAACTTTTTTGCCCAAAATTTTATTTCTCATCCTTTCCGAAATAACTGGTAGGTCCTCATCAGAAAGAAAAGAATGGAGTTCGTGTAGCCCGAGGTCTTTTTCTGTGTTATGTGGTTTTTCACACCAGCGAGCTTGGAAGCGTTAGTGTAATAGTACGAACCTTCTTTTTTCTAATCTAACTCACAGGTGAAAGTTTTCATTGAAAGTGTTCACTTATATGGAAGTTTCACTGTAGCATTGGAAATTGCATAACATCTGTTGTCTGCTTTATTTGTGGCTAGTGATCTTTAATTAATCGTCCCTGGCTGAGAAGTTAGTGCGTGAGACTCAATGTCTAGGTCGTAGGCTCGAATCCGAGACGTAGCTGAATTTTACTAAGTCGAGGCTAATTTCTACTTTTTCTTTTGGAACTTTATAGAGCTGCTTTTTTTTCGTATTCTCGCTAGTGTTTGCGAAGCGCAGCTCCGCCGCTGTGTATAACATGATTTTTTTTGCCTACAACAGTTCATCCAAGTTTTACCCTTTTCGTTTGAGACACATTATTTTTTAATTTTTGGCATTTCCTTTGTGTCGCAAGTGGCGCTGAGCTCAGCTTCGCCTCTTGTTAAATTTTTCAACGGGTGAATTATAGAGGGGAATTAGCTACGTGCCATATGGTATCAAAATCTTTGAAGTGATCCAAAAATTGACTTGAAATTAGGTAATGGACTTCTTTCAGCGTAAATAACTTTGTTCACAGGATCTGCTCCTATTTCATGGTCTCCATTTCCAATCTCGCCAAGTTGCACGTCAGCACGTTGCCATATTAACAGTTGGCTTAGAGCTACTGGAGCGATATTGTGTCTACAGTTGACACAATCTTCAAAAAATTATTGATTTTTTCGGCTTTATTAATTTGGTCCAAATTTTTGTCGGATACTTGCCGGCTGTTTATTTCTTATAATTTTGTTAGATCCTTTAATCATTCTCTTTTTTCATTTTCAAGAGGGTAATTATAGTTTTGTGGTTTTCTGGTTGCTTATATAAAACAATTTTTTCTGTTAGAAGATAGAAAAGTCGAAAAATTTGCATTCCTTCATTTTTAAGCGTGATGAACGTGGCGAAGACTTTTATGTCTTGCTGATTTTTTTTTTTTCAGGAAAAAGTCTTAAAATTTTGATGCACTTAGGTTTAATGCACTTTTTTGAGTTCAATTGAAATTAATCTGCAGAAATTGACGTAAATAGGACTCTCCAAATACGTTTGTGGAAATGGCGCGAAAAAAACGTGAACGATTTCTAGCTTCGAAAGTGGAATTTATTTTTAAGATTTCCCAGCGGAAAGCAAACTTTACCTTCCAGTTTTCTCAAGTTGGGTTCATGTTATCAAAAAAGTGCAAATCAAATTATTCTAGAACTTCAAAGAGTTTAAGGGCTTCTGTTTTTTTCTTTGAAGTTCGAAATTCAAGATTTTTTTCAAGAAAGAATGTTTTTTTTTAAATGTTTACTAGCGCGTTCATTACTCTTTTCCAATCTTCGATTGGCTATGTTTTCGAATGAATGGCTTGGGGTTGTACTTCTATCTTCAAGTGTCTGGAATCCATCTGTTATATAGTTTTTGTGGTTTCTGGGTTGAGCCATGTTATGTGAAATCGATGCTGGGGGTAAAGTTGTTGGGGTAATGTTCGTGTTTAATTGTCGAAAAACCTTTCGAAAAAATTTCATACATTTTCGGAAAATGTTTTCTTTTGCTTTTTTCTTTTGACTTTTTTGTCATTGAAGGAATGTGGCGAGTGTTGTACGACATTCATGATTGTGATTTTTTCCTGACTGAAATTATTGGAAAATTGAATTTTAGTGTTCCTTTCTGTATTTAATTTAAGGGCGTCTTTTTCGTTTTACTTTTTCTTTGAGATCCATTGCAAACCATTTTCATATTTGATATAAATGGATTATTTTATAGGCTTTTAGAGTTTTTATTTTTTAGCTTTTCAAGTTCTTTGTTCAAGTTCTGTTTTGTGGCGATTGTTTGAAAATGTTGCATTCATTTGTTTTGTAATTTTTTGTCCATTTTTGCTTTCAGTATGGTTGCAGTTTATAGCAAATACGGGAAAGGGTTTTTTATCACCAATTGTTCATGTAGGATGCGCAGGTTGGTTACTTGCAAAATTTTAAGCAATGTTTTTGAGATGATTCAGGAACTTTTTTGCCCAAAATTTTATTTCTCATCCTTTCCGAAATAACTGGTAGGTCTTCATCAGAAAGAAAAGAATGGAGTTCGTGTAGCCCGAGGTCTTTTTCTGTGTTAGGTGGTTTTTCACACCAGCGAGCTTGGAAGCGTTAGTGTAATAGTACGAACCTTCTTTTTTCTAATCTAACTCACAGGTGAAAGTTTTCATTGAAAGTGTTCACTTATATGGAAGTTTCACTGTAGCATTGGAAATTGCATAACATCTGTTGTCTGCTTTATTTGTGGCTAGTGATCTTTAATTAATCGTCCCTGGCTGAGAAGTTAGTGCGTGAGACTCAATGTCTAGGTCGTAGGCTCGAATCCGAGACGTAGCTGAATTTTACTAAGTCGAGGCTAATTTCTACTTTTTCTTTTGGAACTTTATAGAGCTGCTTTTTTTTCGTATTCTCGCTAGTGTTTGCGAAGCGCAGCTCCGCCGCTGTGTATAACATGATTTTTTTTGATTTTTTTTGCCTACAACAAACAGTTCATCCAAGTTTTACCCTTTTCGTTTGAGACACATTATTTTTTAATTTTTGGCATTTCCTTTGTGTCGCAAGTGGCGCTGAGCTCAGCTTCGCCTCTTGTTAAATTTTTCAACGGGCGAATTATAGAGGGGAATTAGCTACGTGCCATATGGTATCAAAATCTTTGAAGTGATCCAAAAATTGACTTCATCGTGTCGTTTCAGCTCTACTTCCAGTCCGACTCTTTTGAGTTGATGGTGAGTGTGGGCGGTGCAGGTGTGTTTTGTCTCTTCATCATTGTTGACACTCAACTCATTATGGCCAAAGTGTCCCCTGAGGAGTACATTGTGGCCTCGATTGAACTCTACCTGGACATCATCAATCTCTTCATCTACATCCTGCGCATACTCAAGGCCACCAGAAGAGACTGAACAACGGAACTGAACGAAAATGAACAAAGACTGAACAAACAACAATTCACTCACTACTCAACAATTCACCCTTTACTCAAAATAGTTAATTTCAAATCGATAAGCGGGTTCTAGCTGGAAGGATCTATCGATTTTAGCTGATCAAAATTTTGAAGACTATAAAAATTATATATATTTTTCGAAAATGTATATCCATTTCAAAAATGTAAACGTATTGAAAAAATGGTAAATCAACAGGCCAATCCATTCAAAGAGTGCATAGACAACGAGCATAATTTTTTATTATTGAAGCAAATGATCAAGAATCTCAATGCTTTAACTTGAATGAAAAATATAATATGAAGAAAACAACCTTAGTAATATTACATTTCTGATATACATCACTGATATATTTCTGCTTCCTTTGTTTTGGTTGTAAATTACACGAATACTTTATACAACTGGAAGACAGAACCGCGATAGAATGATAGCATTTTTCTAATTAAGCACGAAGTGTAGAATGATATATGCGATGAGTTTCTGAAAATATTGATTGAAGCGACAAAATCTTAAAGAGGTATGAATTCGCGGTAGTCGAAGTTGGATCAATACCAAGACGCGGGAAGTGATTACCCTTAGTGATGCTCTTTCTTATGATTTGTAGTCTAATAGGTTCGGATCTAAGGTTGATAGTGTTATGCAGTTTTTGCTTGGCACTCTCAACCAGTAGATGGGATTTTTTTGTCGCTTCTGTGGCTTAAATGTAAATATGTTAGATTAAAATCTTTAATGAACCAATTTTTCGATGTCAAAGGGAAATAAAATTAATTCTTTCAGTGGAAGTTTTCTCGAATTTTTTTTAAGGGAGGCGAAACGGTAATGGTAGTTTATAGATTTGTTACTGTTCTACTCAAGAAAAAAGTTTCAGACAGGAGAAAGTCATATGTAGGAAGTATCCATTTTGCTTTCGGTCTATTATTGTGACTTCCCCTTAGCTCTGGCTCAGTCTCTGTCTACAAAAAACAGTCCAATACAAATCAGTCCATTAAATAATCACATTGATTGAAATGACAATTCTATCAAAAGCTGATAAAGATTTTCTCGGATTTTGTTCTGGTAGCAATCTTGTTAGCTAGTAAAGAAATGTTTTTCTGTAAACTAATCTGGATGATGATAGGTAATAGTACGTAGATAGCAGCATCGCCAATTCATTATCAGCTATCAATACATTTAAAAAAATTTCAACTTTTTTTGATGGCAAGAATAGAGGGGAGTTGTTTTCGAATTGCGAGTATTAGCAAAATCTCGATCCCATAAACAAGGTTTGTTTCATGGTATTGGCTGAGTATTCTTAACCTTCCGATAAGCAAGGCTATTGCAATCGGGTATTAAACTTTTTTCACGTAAAAAAACTTTGTTCACAGGACTCACTTGACTCATTTCCTGGAAGCCTCTGTTAGCAATAAATTGATTGCAACTGACATATTTTGTTGATGTTAGTATTTAAAACAGCTGTTCTATTCGAAAGTTGCTTTTGACGTTGATCACCAACTCGATTTGTTGAAATTTCATGTTTTCCCTTAATATGTTTTTGATATGTTTTTTTTTCGGATTAGGTCATTTTCTGCTTAGGCCTTAATATTATATAGGCTTATTGCCCGCCTCATGTTGCATTGTTCGACGAGCGAAAATTTTTTTTGTGTGCGTGTGTTAACACTTGCTTGCGAAGCGAGTGTATTAGTACGAACCTTCTTTTTTCCACCCTAAGTCGGAAATATTGGTACCACTTAACAGCTTTTTTATAGCAAGTGCCTTGACATCCGAATAGTAATAAGTTAACACAATTGATGCATTTTTAATTCATCGAATGAGCCGAAAAAAGTGATTTGTTTCAAACAACATAACAATAATGAAAACTCGATTCCAGAAATTTTCTAACTCAATATATCTAGCATTTTTTTTGAAATGCATAATTTATACATAATGTGGCTTTATGCTTTGCGATTTTTCACACACAAAGTTAGTGTGGATGCATTCAGTTTGTTATATTCGAAACTATTTATTGCAAAATTGAGTATTTGTATTTGGTGCCACTTTTGCTGATTGCATTGGAAATTTATTAGCATATGAGGCTGTTTTATTTGTGAGTAGTGTTTGTCGGTTGTTAAGTTGCGTGGCTGAGTGGATATTGTGTGAGATTCAAAATTTCTTGATAACAGTAGGTTGCTAATTCGAGGCTTATTTCTACTTCTTTCACTTGATGTAGCTGCTTTTTTGGTCGTGATCTCGCAAGTGTTTGCGAAGCGCAGCTTCGCCTCCGTGTTTGATGATGAGTAGTCAATAGTTTTTTGTAGTTTGGAAGTCTTTGAATACTTATTCTTTCGGTATTTTTTGGTTTAATTTTTTTCTTTCGGCTTGATAGGTTTCGGTCTATATTATATCGGCTTAGTGACCTCATATTGCGTCGATTGACGAGCGAAAAAAGTCATTTGGAAAAGTTTTTTGGCTTAAAGGGTTTCTTACGATGTTTTTGGCTTTGTTACAGCTTGGTAAGTTTTATCCAATGTTAATATCACATTGTTTTGTCTGGGCATGTTTTTGTCAAAACAATCTTCATTCATGTTGATAGATAAGTTTTTTTGACATTTTTGGTGAGTTTTTTTGACTAAGCGGCCTTGTTGTTTTGTGTCGCAAGTGGTGCGAAGCTCGCTTCGCCTCTGTAAAAGTTTGAGTCCGATTTTTTAGCCACAAATTTATTTCATTTTTAATAAACTCTTAATTGTTCCGACCATTGAAAATGAGGAGTAACTGTGTATTCCGGTGTGTTTTTACCATTGCGATAGCAAGGGTATTGCAATCCGGTACTAGATATTTTTCCGGTAAAAAACTTTGTCCACGACTCATTGGACTCCTGGCGGTACCTTGCTTCATAATGAACTCAAATTTTGTAGTGTATCTTGCACACTTAGCCTGGTGGTAACGAAAATGCCTAGGACGGCAAAGGTCATGGGTTCGAGTCTGACCAGGACCAGTTTTTTTCAAACGGGAAATGTTCCGGATCACTTTTTTGGCCTAGAATTCGTCTGCTTATGTTTTGTTGCTTAGTTGCCACATCTAAGAATTGTTTATTTTAGCTCTAAGCAGTTTTCACTGCAGCTGTTTTTAGCATTTGAATAATCCGGCTGCATCGAAATTTGCTTTTCACATTCGTTGTAATTTTACCAGCTCAATTTGTTAAAATCTTTATCTATCTATCTATCTATATCTACACTATATTTAAATGCAAGTGACAGCTATCTCCCATGTTGAAGCATAATAATTTTGCATGTTTAACGAAAGAATTTGTTCAGGTTTAAGCTATATCATATATTGCAATTCTTAAGAAAATTTTTCAATTAGTTTTCCGCAAGGCCATGAGTTTTTCACTTATTTTTTTGAGGCCAAATTAAGTCTATCTGTCTGTCTGTATACCTGCTTTTTAAAATAATTTGATTGTCTGCATACCCGTCTCTTAACTTTTTACTTTTAAATTTGATTTCGACGATTCAGTTTAAAGTAGTGCTACTGTCAAACGGTTGTCTCCAATCTTTCTTTATCTGTATTTTTTTCCGTCTTTTTTCGAGCCTTCTTTTTCGATCTTTTCTATCTTTTTCTGTTTTTTTATCCTTCTTTCTTTTTTCAACATTTTTTTTTTCTGTCATTTTTCTGTCTTCTTTTTTTATCTTTTTTTAATCTTCTTTTTCTATCTTTTTTGCTATCGTTCTTTTTTAATCTTTACTCTTTTTTATATCACCTGTCGCCAATTATGACTGCTCAAATCCTGGAGTTTCCGAGATATGACATTTTTTGTGATTTTTTCAAAAAGTTTTCAAAAAATTTGAATAAATTTTTGTTTTTAAAATTTGAAATTCCTCACCCTGTACTTGGATGATTTCAGGGTACTCTCAGGGATTCGTGAACCTTGCCTCCAATTATGACTGCTCAAATCCTTGTATTTTTCGAGATATGACGTTTTTTGTGATTTTTCAAAGTTATAGAAAACTTAACCTAATTTTTTTTCTTCTAAATTTGAAATTCCCAACCCTGTAGTTGGGGGCTATCAGAGTACTCTCAGACGGTTGCGAACCTTGCCACCAGTTAACACTTCTCAAATTGTTGTAGTTCTCGAGGTATGACATTTTTTGTATTTTTGTTTTCAAAAAATTTTTAATAAATTTAAATTAATTTTTGTTTTCAAAATTTGAAATTCCTTACCGTGTAGTTGGGTGTTGTCAGGGTACTCTGAGGGGTTTCAAATCTTGCTTTCAAATATGGTTGCTCAAATCCTTCTAGTTTCGCTTTTATTTTCTTTTTTTTTCGTGTTTTTATCGGCTTAATAAAGTTCGGTTTAATTAATATCGACCTAGTGGCCTCTTATTGCGTCGTTACGTCCGAAAAAAGTTTTTGGGCGCGCGAATGTGCTCTTGAGGGGAAAAGAGATTTTTTGATTTTCTTTCGGGCATCAAGGGTTTCTGCTCCGGTTTTTTCGGCTTTGTTACCGCTTGGTAATTATTAATTGAAACTCAATCAATCATCCGAAGCATCTGGCGTACGGGTAAATAACTGCTTGAGACGACAAAGTTTTGCAAGTCGAATCCGCGCGTTTCATTTTTAATGCTTTTTCGGATTATCGTCCATCTGTTTATATTCGTCGTCTTGGTTCCCGTAGCTTGATATTTAAGCTTTATTCCAAGTTGCTGTAACCCCCATGCTTGAAACGACAAAGCCCGGGAGTTCGATTCCAATTGAGACCTGTTTTTCTTCCAAATAGAAAATTATGACCGATTTATTTTATTGTCTGTCTCTTTAGTTTTGTCTGCTTAGTTTCGCAGAAATGACGTTTTTGAAAACTTGGCTTCTGTTTAGCATTCCCAAATCTCGCAGTAGAGTTTCTTATGGTGCAGGCAATTTTGTTCCGGATGTTTTGGGCTATTATTGCAGTTTTTTCCGTTTGATTTTCATTTTCATTCATATTTGTATCGCATATGTTGCGAAGCTCAGCTTCGCCTCTGTGTAGTTTTTTCAAACTTTCGAGCGAGTAAAGCGATCGAGTAAGATTTGTTGCAAATGAAAATTAACAATTTAGGCTGAAAAATGATTTTATTGAAATGAAAAGTATTTTTGGAAGCTTCATTCAGCTCTTCTCTGGCAAAAAAAAACATTCTATATTTAAAATTTTTAGTTCAAAAAATTGAAAAAATTTATAATTTTTCCATTTTTTTAAAAAATTTTTTGAAGACAATTGGAGTCTTTTATGCCAGATTCACTAAATTTTTACGCTTTTGTATATAAGTCACTAACTTGAAGAAAAGTTTTTTTCTGAGAGTGTGGTCGGAACATCCTGTGCTACTTGCTCAGCAACAGGCTATTCTTGTTTATTGCTTTTTTGGTTCTTAGACCGTTAATTATGCTCAGGTATGATGTTGCAAAGGCAAATCAATTTTGTCGGCGTCAATAGATCAAGGTTAGAAATTCAGTTAGTTTTGGACTGTTTTTTTCAATACTTTTTCTGATGCGTTGAACTAATTTGTATTGGACTGTGATGTATGGGACGTTTCTGTATAAGCACCGCCGAACTGTATCTACACATCAGTGTTATTGCTGTAAATGTGAATGTTTTGCTCAGACCACTGTGGGTAGAAATTTCGGATAGTTCTACTTTTTTTTGTGTCCAATCAGCTGACAGATTAAAACGGAAATAGATTTTGATACCAGATTACAGCGCTTTCAGTCGTGATTTGAACTGCAACGACAAATTTCTGGTGACAATTTTTTTCCTGTCGCAAGACAGGTCCCATTTTTT